GGCAGGGCAGGGTCGGGTCTCCTGTCCCTGTGCTCTGTGCCCGAGCCACAGTGGAGCTGGCACGATGCCAGGCACCATCCCTGCACGGGGAGGGGGACACCCGAGTGTCCATGGGGTTTGTCCCTCTCTGAGCTCTCTGTGCTGGTCACAGATGGGTTTTGGGGGTTCCCTCACAAGCCCGAGTTGCAGCTATGGCAGTGGCTTGTGCTTCCTGGTAGGAATCTGCTCAGCCTGTGTGCTTCCCAGTAATCCCAGTAATCCCAGCAATCCCAGCCTGGGAGACTTTTGGGGTGCTTTTGGAGCCTGGGCACTTGCATTCCCTGTCTCAAGCTCTCACTGTGAAGCTGTGGAGGGATTCCTGTGCTTCCCCACACCAGCCCAGGGTTGTGCTCAGAGCAGCCCTTCAATCCAGTTTAAGGAGATGCCCAGCTCCAGACCTTGAACCAGGGCAGGTGCTGGGGGAGGACAGACAGACAGACAGACAGACAGACAGACCAACATTCAAGTCCCCTTGCAGGTACCATCCCAAGGACAGGGCCTGGAGGGGCTGGGTAGGGTTGGCAGAGGTTGGGTGGGGCTCACACCAGCAGAGACCTTCACAGCCAAGCAGGGAGATGCTGTTCCCTGCCAGCAGCACGGTTTTCTCCAAGAACACTCCTGGGAGCAAAGCATCCAGGGAAAGCTGGGGCAAGGATATCCCAGCCTGGTGTTCCAGGGCAAGGCCAAGCTCAGCAGGAAGGAACAGAAATCCAATAGAACCCCCAGGAACAGGGAAACAACCCGACCAAACACACATGGATGAGCGGGTTCCATCCCAACCCTCCCTTCCGTGGTCACAGCCAGGATTGGCACAACTTTCGCCCCAAGTCCCTCTTTTGCCCACAGTCGACCCCTCCCTCCCAAAATCAAGCGTCTGAGACCCAACCCTGTGCCCTCGACCGGCCGCCCTCACTCACCATCCACCAGGTCTTGCCCCTCGTGTCGTAGCACAGCTGCCACCTCACCGAGCCCCCGGCCACCGGTGCAGCCACTGTGCCCGGCACCTCCATCCCTTCCGGCTACTCCGGGAGGTGGCTGGCATAGTGCCCCACTCCCGGTGCCATTGCAGACCCTTCTCCCCCCAGAAGCACCCAGAGGAGCCGCGAGCCCTGGGGGAAAGCAACTGGATAGAGGCGAGGAGTAATCCCAGCCCGGGAGTTCCTGGGCTGCCCCCGGGGAGGCGGGGAGGCTGCTCCGGGTGGGCTGGTGGGTGGTCACTGCCGGGCAGAGGCTGTGCCAGCGGCTGGGCACGGCAGAGGGACAGCGGGGGTGGGACAGCGGGATCCCAGGGGGTTGGACAGCGGGATCCCAAGGGGTGAGACAGCGGGATCCCAGGAGGTGGGACAGCGGGATCCCAGGGGGTGAGACAGTGGGATCCCAGGAGGTGGGACAGCGAGATCCCAGGGGGTTGGACAGCGGGATCCCAGGGGTGAGACAGCAGGATCCCAGGAGGTGGGACAGCAAAGGGATGTGCGGGATCTCCGAGGATCTGGGAGTTGCTTTGGCTTTGCCTTCCCAGGGAGGGGCTGCTGCAGGTAGCACCTGCCAGCCCCGGCGCCAGGGATCCCTGAAACCAGATACATCCCTGGGTGGGTGATGGGATCCTGTGTGACCCTTCCCAGCACTGTCCCGTGTACCCCAACACGTGCACTCAGTTGGGGGGCCCTTCTCCCCTCTGGCCCTGGGGAAACTCAGTCATCAAGTTGGGAGGTGTGGGAATCTGATCCAAGGATGAGGGGGAGCTGGGTGCAGGACATCCTGTGGGGGCTGATCTCTGCTCCCAGTGCAGGGGCAGGATCCAGTCACTGGGGAAAAGCAAAGGGCACCCCCAGCCCTGTCACCCTGGCTTGGTCCCAGTGTGACCAGATCCTGAGGAGGTCGGAGGCTCCTGGAGGTGACACGGCCCCACTGGTGTCATGTGCACTCTGGGGGTCCCTGAAGGATCACGCCCCCTTCCCCCCCGAGCCTGCTCCCTGCTCCCCACACAGGGATGAGCTGTCCCAGACTTTGGCTCTGCCTCAGGGAATTCTGACCTCCAGCAAGCGCTTGGGGCTGTCAGTTGTCCACGTCACCGTGTCCATTTAGCAGTCACCCTGCCAGGAACTGCCTGGAGCCTGGGGATTGTGGGCTGATCACACCCTGATGTGTGTGGCTGAACTGCTGATTCTGGCTTTGTTATCCTCGGGAACAGTTGGATCCTTCCTGGTGCTGCCCACTGGGACAAATCAGTCCCTGCTGGTTTCCTGCCTTCCCCCTGTGCCCCCAGTCTGCCCTCCTGCAGGTTTTCCAAACCCAGGGGTTTGGTGTGGGGTTTGAGGAAGTTTTTCAGGAGGTTTGATGGTTTTATTTTGGCTTTCAAAGCCCAGGAGTCATGGGAGAAGCTGGTTTTACGTTGAGCTATGGAGATTTGATGACACTTTGGAGATATTTAGATACGAAAATGTTGGGGATGATGCCATCCTGCTGCCTGGGGTCTAGAGGCACCACGATGGACCAGTGTGGATGTGGGGATGGGTGAAATGGCTGTGTGGCTGTGTGAAGGAAAGCACCACAAGGGGCAGGTTGCAGTAATTCAGCTCCTGGAAATAATTAATTTCAAGGCAGGAAGATTGCTTCCTGACTCCTTTTTTTTTTTTTTTTTTTTTATTAAGCTTATTTTTGATCAAAAGCCAGGCCTTTTTTTGGGAAAGAACGCTGGATCTTCTCATGAACATTTTCCCTTCCAATACGACTGTTTTTCATTCCAAACAAGAGTTTGGGGCATAAAATAAACCCGAAGTTGAGCCGTGGGAGCAGCTCAGTGTTGAGTGCCAGGGCGGGAGGGGAGATGCTTTGGGGTGTGGGCACTGGAGGTGGCACCAAGCAGGCAGTGAGTGCAGGCCCCTCGGTGGGGTGAGTGTCAGATGGATTGAGCTAAATGAGGAAAATCTTCCTAACTGGAATCTTCCAGAAATGCTATTTGGCTCGGAAAGGGTGATTTTTCAGGCAGTGTGTGATGATGTGAGTGTGCATGCACCAACATGCGTGTGCACAAGCAGAAACGTGTGTGTGTACATGTGTCCCACGTGTGTGTGTGTGCGTGTACGTGTCCCACACGTGTGTCAGCACATGCAGGAGATGTGCTGGCAGTGAGCAGAGGAGACACATCCTGCTCGAAGCAGGGCTGTGCTGCCCCCGGGGCTGCGGCGCTGGCAGGAGCAGGGAGGAGATGCCACAAGACAGCAGTCAAAAATACACTGAGAGGCCTTGGAGGGGTTGGGAAGGGCCTGGCACATCCCTGGTTGCAAGGAAGGACACTCTGGGAATCAGGGGGGGACCCTGAACCTCTTGCAGCCCTGCCAGGGTGGTGGTTGTGAGGGTGGGTGCTGTAGGAAGTGGCACGTGGCAGGGGTGGGAGGTGCCACGCAGTTCTGATCCATTGCCATGGGCATGGCTCTGACTTCGTGGGTGTCTGGAAGTGCTTTTACACACACTGGGAGGCAGGATGGGGGTGAGAGCCTCACAGAGTGGCAAGGGGAGGGAAGGTAGCCCTAGTGCTGGTCGCCACGCCCAGTGCTGGCACCCACCCTGGCATGGGCCTGCTCTGCCATCCCTGGGGCAGAGCTGCTGGGAAGCAGGGAGTCAGGAAGCAGAGAGCCAGGGGAATGGATGTGGTAGGAAAAGGGCTGGGGCTGAGCCAGCTGCTCCACCACAGAGGTCTGGAGGGTGTGCACAGGGGGTCTGTGCACACACACAAGGAGGGAGGCAGACGGGGACAGGAGGAAACCCTAACTGAGTTCATGTCCCCAGTGATGGAGCTGGGGGGTCTCTGCTTTAACCCCACCCAGGACCCCTCCCATGAGGGTCAGTATGTGGAGATGGGGTGCTGGTCCCTGCTTGCGACAGTGGAGGCTTCTCCTGCCCCCGAGACAGCTTTGAGCATCTCTTCCAGATGTGTCATTTGGAGGCCGAGGTGAGAGAGGGGACTGTCTTGGGCAGTGACAACGACAGTGTGCCCCCACCTGCTCAGACCCATCTCTGAACAGAATCTCTGAACCCCCTGAGGGCTGCAAATTCCCCCATGCCTGCTGGGGGGATGAGGTAAGTGGTGCACCCCCCTTTTAGGGCTGTGCAGGCAGGACAGAGACCCCCAAGGCTGCACAATGATGACACTCTCTCCCAGGGGCAAGGCACGACAGCTCCCAAGGCTGTACAAGTCAGACAGCCCCTGGTGCAGGGTGGGCAGCACAGATCCCACTGAAGCTGTACAAGCCAGATAACATCCCCCTCTCAGAGGCAAGGAGAACATGTAAGACCCCCGAGGCTGTACAAGCCTGACACCCCCAGGTGCAGGGTGGGCAGGAGAGATCCCACCCCCCGGACAGACACCCCTCTCCTCCCCAAGAAGCCCCCCCAAAGCTGTACAAACCAGATGACATGGCCCTCCCCAGGGCCAGGAGAGCACGACAGCCCCCCAGGCTGTACAAGCCTGACACCCCCAGGTGCAGGGTGGGCAGGAGAGACCTCACCCCCCGCACAGCCCCCCCCGCCCCTATTGCACGACAGGCCCCCGATGTTCCTCTGCAAGCCAGGTGGCACCCCCTTCCAGGGGCCAGGAGAGCACGACAGACCCCCGACAAGCCAGACAGCCCCCGGGGCAGGGCGGGCAGCACCGATCCCACCGACCCCCGGGGCTGCACAAGCCAGACGCCCCCCGGTGCAGGGTGGGCAGGACAGCGCCCCCACCCCGGCCAGACACCCCTGCCCCCCATTTGTGCGGGTCCCTCGGCGGGGGCTGTGACAGCCCCTCCGTCCCCCGGACCGACCCCCTGCCCGCCTGGCCTGGGGTCCCGGGGTCCTGGGTCCTGGGGTCCTGGTGGGCGGGGCCGCGGGCGGGGGCGGCGGTGACGTCAGGCGCTGTCCGCGGTGCTGAGGGAGGGAAGATGGCGGCGCGCTAGAGCCGGGCGGCGGCCGCGCCCCCGCGCCTCCGCGCCCCCGCCGCCACCGCCGACATGTCGCTGCTCTGCGTCGGAGGTACCGGGGGACACGGCAGGGGACACGGCGGGGGACAGGGCGGGGGACAGGGCGCGGGGATGGCGCGGGAGGGGGGCGCGCCCCGCTGCCCCTCTGCGCGGGGAGCGCGGGGCTGAGGGGTGTTGGGGTGGGGAAGGTGAAGGGGAGAGGCCGAGGGGATGGAGGGATGGGGGTCGCGGGAATGGCCCCGCTGGCGAGGAGCCGGCGCGTGGATTTTATGAATGAAGCGGCGGAGGCGCGGGGGTGTGGCGCGCCCTGCCCCGCTCGGGGCTCCCCCTCGAGACCCCCACCCGGCTGCCTCCCTCCACAGAGACCACCGGGGACGAGGCTCCCCAGTAACGCCCCTGGCTCCCCTCCTGCCTCCCGATCCTCCCTGGGGAGGGTCTCCCTCATAACCCCCTCCCCCGAGCTCACCCCGGAACCCCCAGCCGGGGAGACCACCGGGGTTGGGGCTCCGCCCGTAATCCCCCTGGATCCCTCCTGCCTCCCAGCTCGCCTTGGGGAGGGGCTCCACCCATAACCCCCAAGGGCTCCCCGTAGCCCTCGCCCACCGGGGAGACCACCGGGAGAGGGCTCCCCCCGCGCCTCCCACCCCAGCCTCTCCCTTCTACCCCTCTCGTCATTCCTGCCCCCAAGGAGCCCCTTTTCGTCCCTCTCTACCTGCCCTGCACATTCTCTCACCCCTTCTCAGCCGCAGACCCCCATGTGTCCACTGCCCAAACACCCCCACCCATCCAGCCTCACCCTCCTCTCTCTCCCCAAATCCCCCCCTCCCCAGCCCCTCACGCCTGTCTCCAGACACCCCCACCCTGCAGACACAGCTCCCTGCATGCCCAAACACCCCCTCACCCGAAACACGCCCCATGTGAGCCCCCCAACACCCCACAGCCCTCCCCAACCCTCCTGATTTCCACCCTGCAACCCAAACCCTCCCCAATCCCAAACATCATCTATCCCCAAGCATCTCTACATTCCAACCCCCAAACTCCATACACCCCGTATCCCCCAATCTGTGAACCCCTAAATATCCCCCTCCCACTACACCCCAAGCCCCAGCCCCCCCATCCTGCAGTTGCCATCAGTGATGCTGGTGGGGGGTCAGGGCAGGAGCCTGGGGGTCTGATGCTGCTGTGGGCCTGGTTAGGGGTGCTGGTCACCCCATACTGGGAGGAACGGGGGGAGCACAAGGTAGGGGAACCCCACACCCAGTGCACTGAGTCCTGCCCAGCTCGGTGCACAGATGAGTCCTGCAAGCCTGGCCTCAGCCAGGTTAGCCTGGATGGAGAGCTCAGTCTGGGTGAGGGGACAAAAGTCAAAGGGGGTCCCTTTACCCCCTCCCCAAACCCTGTGACACCCTGATGGGGAAGGGGTGGCACTTGTGAGCGCTGGGGTCATGGGATGGAGGTGGCAGAGTGGCAACTGGGAACAAGGTGGGGCACAGGATTTCTAGGATTCCCTCTAGGATTTTCCGGTGAGATCCGGAGGAAAATGGGGGCTCCCTCATTGCTGCCTGAGCTCGGTAGGGTGAGGGGCTGTGCCCTCTCCCACCCCCCTGACGTGTCTTTTAGGTGCTGTCACAGCCCTCTGTCGTGTGGCAGTGCCACAGCAGCACACAGGGAGTTGCCAGAGCCAGGGTGCCCCTGTGTGCCCCCCTGCCAGCCCCAGATTTGGGGTCTCCCCCTCTGGCAGGAGCGGGGCACCTCTTTGCTCACATTTAGACGTCACATGTGGTGACACCCTCAGTGATGCTGTGGGTGGCTGGTGACAACCAGCTCCCAGTGGGTTTGGGCTTCCCCCACTGCCCTGTCACCACTCTCTGGGGGCAGCTGGTTTTGTCACCCGCCCTATTTTTGGGGTTCTGGAGGTGGAGGTGCCATCCCAGAGCCTCCTCCAGCCTTTCCCTGCCCCTCCCGGGGGGCTGGGGCCACGTGCAGCCCCTGGGGGCTTTGTGCCGGGGGGTGTCCCTGGGTGACAGGGAGACCTGGGTGACCCCACCTGGGAGGGGTGGGGTGAGCGGGGACAGGAGGGGGTGTCTGGAGTGGTGTGAGGCAGACGGACAGATGGACAGCGGGCGGACGGGCATCCGGAGAGACAGATGGAGAGACGGAGGGACAGATGGATGGAGGGGACGGGAGACAGAGCACGGAGACAGAGGGGTGGGTGGGTGGATGGACAGACACAGGGGTGCAGGGATGGAGGGAGAGGGTGAACGGAGGGATGGATGGAAGGATGGACAGAGGGATGGATGAAGGACAGACAGAGGGATGGAGGGAGGGACAGAGTGGATGGACAGAGTGGTGGAGGGATGGGGTGGATGGAGGGATTAGTGTGTGAATGGATGGTCAAAGGATGGATGGACAGATAGACGGGTGGATGGGCAGACAGGTGAATGGATGGAGAGACAGGTAAATGGACAGAGGAATGGATGGACAGAGGGGTGGACACACAGGGGATTGGACAGACAGGTGGATGGATGGAGGGACAGAAGGATGGGTGGGTGGAGAGACAGGTAAATGGACAGAGAGATGGAGGCGGGGGGATGGGCAGAAGGATGGACAAAGGGATGGACAGAGGGATGGATGGATGGATAGAGGGATGTGTGTATGGCAGAGGGGTGGACAGACAGACAGGCCTGTTTGCCTCCTGCCTCAGTTTCTACAACTGGCCAAGATCCCCCCGAGAGGAGCCTGATCACCCCAGCCTGGGAAGCACCTTGGCTCTTCCAGCTTGTTGGGGGTTCCCCAGCTCATACGGGTGTCCTTCTGTCCCCATCTCCCTTCCTGGGGGCCTAATTTAGCCCCAGGGTGTCACCCCAGGACTCACCACCCCTGACTCAGCTTTGGGGACCCTTTGATGTGCGGGAGGGCAGCACTGCCTGCAGATGGTGGCAGCAGGACTTCTCCCTGGCAGGAGATGACAGCCAGGAGAGCCACGTGTTCCCTGGATAATTGTTTGTTCCTGTCAGCTCGGGTATTTTTGGAGCTTTTCCTTCCTCTGCTCTCTCATTCCGTTTCAGAGGCAGCAGCTGGCGGAGAGCAGTGGGTGCCCCTGCGCCCAGGACAAGGGGGAGCCCCCCTGTCAGGGATCCCTGTCAGCCACAGGCAGCTACTGTATTAGAATAGAATAATATATATATATATAAAAATATAAAAATGCATTATCTATATAATATGTATGATTATTACACACAGTGATGGCAGCCGTCCCCAGTCAGCCCCCAGGCTCCCACCACGATGACACTCGGGGATCTTTGGGATCCCGGCGCCTGGTGCCTCCCCTGAGCGTGAGCCCCCGCATCCCCGAGCGAAGCTGCAGCTCCCTGTGTGATTCCCTGGGAACATGGCTGCCAGTGACGCGGCCGGTGACCTTCCTGCGGGCACAGAGCCACCCAGCGTGTCACCCTCTGGGTGTCGCAGGGCAGGCAGCCGAGCCGGAGGGTCTCCAGTTATTTTCCGAGGGGATTATTCCCCGCTGCCTCAGTTTTCCCGAGGCTGCCGGTGCCACGTGGGCTCCTCCCAGCCCTGCCAGGCACATGTCGCCGGCGGCAGCCTCGCGTCCCCTCCGGCGCTGGTGGCGGGTGATAAGCGGCTGGCGAGTGGCACGTCTCCGAAATCAAATTACCTTTGATGTCGCCAGGGCTATTTTCATCCCTGCTCGGTCACGTTGGTCCCGCACCCGCTGGCACCCGCGTCACTTAACCGTTCTCCGTGTGCTGTGTCATTCCCCCCCCTCGTTCCCCCGCCGCCTGGTCCCCTCCCGGGAGCCCCGAGGACACCCCTCGCCCCCGCCGCGCCCCTGGCAGTGGCAGCGTTGGTGCCTGGCTGTGCCCAGCTCTGTTTGCCTCCCCACTGCAACCAAAACGTGGGGACTGACCCCCGCCCCGCGCTGGGTAAAGTCGGGGGGGATCAGCCAGAATCGGAGAGGGGGTTTTCCCATGGTGCTGAGCAGGATCTGGTTCCCCCCCGCCCCCATGCACCCCCCCGAGATGGGCAGGATGGGAAACAGCCCCTCAGGCCCCTCTGGGACAGGGCCGGGGTGCAGTGGGGGTGTTTCGGGACTGTATGGGAATTGAAGGGGTATCTCCACTGTCCCTGGTGCTGTTTTGGGGTGGGGAGGGTTACAGCCTGTTACCGTTCTGCTCTTAAGGGAAGGAAGCCCCCTGGGTTTTCCCGTGGGAAATCAGGGTCGGTTATTTGGCAGAGACTTAACCCTGGTGCTGCTGGGCTGGTGCCTCCGACAGGGAGACAGGGCCCCACCTTTTCCCTCGGGATATGAGTGGTGACATCATCTGTTTCCCCAAATAGATCCCAATTCAGAAGGGAGATCAGGAAAGTAACACCCCCTCAACAGATGAAGGCAGGTCATTTGGGGTTGCAAGTTGTCCCGGAGTGGCAGGTTTTTTTGGAGGGGGAGGGTCTTTGCTCCCCTCTAGTGCACACCTCCAGCTCATGACTGACATCCCACCCTCACCTGGCATTGTGGATCCCAACACTTTCCCCACCTGGCAGCTGAAGGGGAGAGTGGGGGGGGCAGCCAGGGCTGGGGTCCTCCCATCCCCTTGACACCCTGGTGGGGGTCCCCAGCCCCCCACCTGAGGCTCTCAACCTGATTCTTTTCCCTCCCTCTGTCCCCACAGTTAAAAAGGCCAAGTATGACGGGCCCCAAGGTAAGTGACCCCCTCACCTGCCTGTCCACCTGAGGGGGGAGGGAGGGGGCTCTTGGGCTGGTTGGATGTGGCAGGGTCAGAGGAAGGGCTGGGGGGAGAGGGGAACCCAGGCTCGTCCTCAGCTCTGAGGCATCATTTGGCAGGTTTGGGGTGGGGGAGGAGCACACACAGAGATGGGGGTGCCCTGGACAGGAGTGGGGGGGACTCACATTCATCACCCCAGCAGAGGTGGGATCCATCCTGGGGCTGCTGTGCCAAGTGTGGGGGTCCCCACGGGAGGGTGGCAGGGGGTGGTGGCAGGGGATGGGGGCACACTGGGGGTCACTTCACCCTCTTCTTGCTCCCACAGAGAAGTTTAACACCTACGTGACCCTGAAGGTGCAAAATGTCAAGAGCACGACCATCGCGGTGCGGGGCAACCTGCCCTCCTGGGAGCAGGACTTCATGTTGTGAGTGTCCAGGGGGTCCCCCAGGGTCCCCCATCACTGGTGCCCCTGCAGACAGGGGGTGGTCCCCTGCTGCCAGCCCCACTGACCCCAGCCCTGGGGGCTCACCTGAGTCCTGGGGCTGAGGGGGCAGGTCGAGGCTGGGGTGATCCCAGGGGCTTGCTGAGGGGGGTGACCTGAAGGGGGGGGGTAACCTGATACCTTTCCTGCCCTCAGTGAGATCAACAGGCTTGACCTGGGCCTGACAGTGGAGGTGTGGAACAAGGGGCTCATCTGGGACACTATGGTGGGGACGGTGTGGATCCCCCTGCGGACCATCCGGCAGTCCAACGAGGTAGGGAGCTGGGCGTGTCCAACCCCAGGGACCCCAAGGGACATGACCCACTCCCAGCTGTCCTCCAGGGCAGGGAGTGCCTTCCCCATCCTGCTTGGGGCCAGACCCCGTGTGCTGGCTGTGGAACCAGGAAAGGCCCGTGGGAAGCCTCCTCACCCCATTTCCACCCCACAGGAGGGCCCTGGGGAATGGCTCACGCTCGACTCCCAGGTCATCATGACCGACAACGAGATCTCGGGCACCAAGGACCCGACTTTCCACCGTATCCTCCTTGACACCCGCTTTGAGCTGCCTCTGGGTGGGTACCATCCCCAGCCCTCCCAGGACAGGGGTGCATCCTTCCTGGCCCCCAGCCCCGGGGATGCTCAGGAGCCTTGGAGCTGGGGCTGAGGCTCTGACCCTGTGGCCTCAAAAGCTTGAGGGCTGTTTTGGGAGGGGGTTCTGTGCACCAAGTTGGCTCTTTGCCCGTGCAGATATCCCCGAGGAGGAGGCCAGGTACTGGGCCAAGAAGCTGGAGCAGCTCAACGCAATGCGGGACCAAGATGATGTAGGTGCAGCCAGGCCCGGGGTGAGGGGGGTGGGGGCAGCAGTGCTGCCAGCAGGAGCCCTCACCAGCCCTTCTCTTCCCAGTATGCCTTCCAGGAGGAGCAGGAAAAGCCTCTGCCCGTGCACGGCTCCCAGTGCTGTAAGTGCTGCCTTGTCCCTGCCCTGCTGTGGGACCCCCACGCCCCCTCATCCCCCCACTCCCTGTGCTGGGGATTCTCGGGGTGGGCTCTGTGTCTGCTTTGGAGCATTGGACCCCAACCAAGTGGGGCTCAACTTTACCCCACACCCTGTCCCCATTCCTGTCCTCCCTCCCGCGTTTGCTGGTGTTTCTTTGCCATCTCCCTGCTCCACAGTGGGTGAGCCTTCCTGCGGTCTGAGAGGAGCAGGGCGTGAGGGGCAATAGGGCTGCTGAGGAAGGTCCCCTGGGTAGCAAGGCTGGTGAGGGAGCCCTAGGCCCCTTCCCTGTCCCATCAAGGTGCTGCATTGCCCACTCTCTGTCCCCAGCATGGCTCAGTGCCAACGTGCCCCATCCGGGCTGTGCCCCATCTCAGGGCGCTGTCCCCCACCCAGCCCAGTGCCACTGTGCCATCTGGGAGATGCTGGTTCCTCCCAACCAGCTACCTCTGTCCTCATTGTCTCTGCCCCTTTCTTTGTAGGCAACTGGAATTATTTTGGCTGGGGAGAACAGCAGAGTAAGTATCCTGCCCCCTCCTCTCCTCTCAGCCTGGGGGTCCATAGCACATCCCCCTTTGCCTGGCCCAGGGCTCAGGGGACCTGGGGCTTGGGTTCAACCTGTGGTCTCATGCCATGACCCTGCTGGGTGAGGACAGTGTCCCCAAGTGCCCTGTCCTGGGCAGGGCTGTCCCCACGGGATGGTGGGGTCACAGCACTGTGGGGCTCTGTGCCCTCAGGGTGCCCTGGTAACAATGAGCAGCCCAGGCTTTGCCTCTGTGGTGGGACATCAGTGGGGCAGAGGGAGGGTCTACCCTGTCCTCTTTCCCTTTTCTGTATGTCCCAAATTCCCCCTCTGCCTGCCCTTCCCCCTCAAACCCTTCCTGCACTGAGAAAATGTGCAGCCCCTCTCACCCTGCCTGGGCTCCATCTCCCCAGCACGCTCCCACCGCAGTGTGGACACACTGGGGGCACTGATGGGTCTGTGCAGGGTGTGGGGCAGGTTTGGACCATCCCCTGTCCCACTTACCGTGTCCCCTGGCAGATGATGACCCCGACAGCACCGTGGATGACCGGGACAGCGATTACCGCAGTGAGACCAGCAACAGCATCCCCCCCCCTTACTACACCACGTCCCAGCCCAACGCCTCCGTGCACCAGTACCCCATGAGGCACCAGCAGCAGAGCTCCCGCGACTCCTACACCGACTCCATGCAGAGCTACGAGATGGACTACTCGGACCAGGCTCCCATCAGGTAGTGTGGGGTGCAGCTCCCCCAGGACTCCCTCTCTCAACCTCCCCTCCAGGTGACAGAGGCCAGCAGGTCCCTGAGGTGACGCCAGGGATGGCGCTCCCGGGGCGGTGGGTGACAGCGGGAAGGAGGCTGAGGTGAGGAGAAGGTGGATGGTGCTGGCCCCATCCAAGCCTTTCCTTCTCCCTGGGAAGTTTTCAAGCTCTTTTGGGTCACCACTCTCCTCTGTCCTCGCTGGGTTTGGGGACCCCCACCCACGCTGGGAGCTGGGCAGTGGGGTGTGGGCTGGCTGGGTACGCAGATGTGGCAGAGACATCTGCCCGGCGCTCCATCCCTGCGGCCGCAGCACAGCCCAGCCCAAGGTGCCAGCGCCCCCCAGGTGGGCAGAGCCTCCCTGCCGGTGTCCCCCGGTGGCAGGGCATGCCGGGCCGTGGCGGGTGGCGGTGGTGTGGCACCGGGGCCTCGCTGACCATGTTCCTCTCCTCCCCGGCAGACGCTATGGTAGCGTAGACTCTGCCGCAAACGGACGCAGCGACGCTGAGTCCGGTTCTGAGTCGAGCAGGCGGACCAGCCGCCAGCCTTCCCTTGAGAGCAGGCGGTCCCTAGACCTATCGGATAGGTGGGTCTCTGCCTGTGCCGTGTGCCGTGTGCCGTCGCAGAGTGCTGTGGTCGGTCCTTGCAGCCATGGTGAGGCCAACACCAGTCCTGGCAAGGGCGGCCTCGTGCCACCGCAGGGTCCCCGCTCCCCGCCCCGGATCAGCCTCGCAGGGGGGCAGCCTTGGGGTGCTCCAGGTGTTCCCTCTGACGTCTCTTCTTGCTGCTGCTCCCCAGTTCATGGGGCGGTGTCCCAGCATCCTGGTACCACTCCTTGGCACTGCGACCATCTGGCAGCCTGTTCCTCCTCGTGCCAGCGGGTGTGGGAGTGGGGCCTCGGGGACTCAAATGCCACCCCCTGTTCCTGGTCACCTCCTAGGGAGTGCCTGGCTGAGCCAAAGCCTCATGCAGTGATCTGGGATCCTTGTGATGTGCCAAGGGCCCCTCTGCCAGCTCTGGCCAGGGTCAGGATGGGGAGGTGTGGGGTTTCCACGCATGAGCCATGTCTCCTGCACCCCTGTGCCCAAGGTGCCCCTTCCCAAGGTACCTGGGTGATGCCAGTACCTCTCCCAGCTGGGACCAGCCTGGGCATCCCCCAGCACCCTCTTCCCTGCGGTGTCTCCCGGCTTCCCATTGCCTGGCTCAGCCGCTCCAGGCTCTGCCCATCCCATCCCCTCGTCCCCACCCCCCTTGCCCACCCCACTCGCCCTGGCTGGAGACGTGGTGTCGGCCTCTTCCTCGGCATGTCCCTGTCCTGTCTGCATGTCTGCTTCTGTCAGCCTGTCCCCACGGAGCCCTGGGGCACAGGGGCACAGGGACCCCTGCAGCCCCCGCAGTGCAGGCAACTGTGAGAGGAGGGGGCTGGAAGGGCCCGGGGGAGGGGCAGATGGGGTGGGGGGGAAGCGATCTGGCTGGGCAGGAGGAGCGGAGAGAGGACCCCCGGGTAGGGATGATGTTGAGGGGAGTGAGGGGGCTGAGGGGGTGTCTTGGGGTGAGGGTGCCTGGGAGGGCTACAGGGAGTGCTGGGGTGAGTAGAGTCAGGTAGAGGTTGGGTGACAGCTCTGTGGGGCAAGGGCAGGACAAGGGTTTCTGGCAGTAGCAGGAGGCACCATCTGGCTGGGGGTGCTGTGCTCTGCCCACCCCCTGGCTGGGGTGAGCTGAGGGGGCAGACACTGTCCCCCCATCCCCACATTCAGCCCCAGCACAGGCAGGAAGGTCAGACCCCCCACCCTGGGGGCTCGTCCCAGCCCATGGAGTCTCCTGGGTCCGTGCCTTTTGACTCCCAGGTTGAGGAGCCCGGTGCTCCCGGTGGGAGCTGCACATCCTCCCGCCCCTGGGGCGGGCACCCTGGGGCTCTGTCGGGTGACACGGACTCACAGGAGCCCTGTCCTTGTGTCCCCTCGCCCCTCAGCCCCACAGGGAGCAGTCGCTACGCCTCGTCGGCCGAGCTGAGCCAGGGCAGCTCCCAGCTGAGCGAGGACTTCGAGAACGAGAGCCTGCGGGACTCGGAGCTGGACGAGAGGGACGGCGACTCCTACCACTCCTGCCACAGCTCCGTCAGCTACCGCAAGGACTCACCGCGCTGGGAGGAGGAGGACGACGATGATCTCTACCTGGAGGAGGAGGAGGAAGAGTTCATTGAGGACTACAGTGAGACTGAGGAAGGCTACCCCAAGGAGGAGGAGCTGGAGGAGGAGGAGGAGCTGCGGGAGGAGGACACTTATGAACCACCCGAGGACGAAACGTACCCCCCACCACAGAAACCCCCCGCACAGCAGCAGCAACAGCAACAACAACAGGTCCCACAACAGCAGCAGCAGCAGCAGCAACAGCAACAGCAGCAACCTCAGCTGGTCCCACAGCTGAAGCCACAGCAGCAAGAGAGAAAGGAGGAGAGAAAGGAGGAGAGAAAAGAGGAGAGGAAGGAGGAGAAGGACACCTCTGCCTCCCAGGAGACTCCTGAGGCCCTCGAGGCCCAGAGGGGAGTGGAGGAAGCTCCCGTGCAAGAGGCAGCCCCAGAGTCTGAGCCCCCCAAACCGGCTGAGAGGTAGGAGGAGGGACTGATCTGCCCTGGGATGGCACTGTGCCTGGTGGCACTGAGGATGCTCTGGAGGTAGTTCAGGGCTGGGGCTGGTGCCAGGGGGCAGGATGAGACACCTTGTGCGGTCTCTGGAGCTTTTCCAAGCGCCTGAGGCACTGAGATGAGGGAAACCCACCTTGTGGGCCCCAGGCAAGGGCCAGGCCCCTTGGGCACACTGCCCTGGCCCAGCCACCTCCCATGCTGAGCAGGGCTCAAGGTGTTAAAGAACCTGCCAGGGTTATGGGTCTGCAGGTTTATAACCTGAGACAAACCTGGGGCTGGGGAAAGTGGAGCCTTGAGGCTGCAGTTCCTCTCCTCTGGCTCAAGTTCTTGGCTCCCTGGATGGAGGGGCTACCCTGGAGCTTGGTCAGATGAGGAAATTTCCATCCACAGGAGCCAATCCTCTCCCTAGGCCACTCCATGGCCTTCTGTGCTGTGAATTAGTTGGTGGCCAGGTTCCTGGTGCAGCATGTGTATAATTCATATCTCGGGGACAGATTACTCAAATGTCCATTTCCATTTTCAGTGAACGTCACCCCTCCCTGAAGAAGGGAACTGTGATGGGCTTTTTGTCTTTTACTTAGTTTAAAATTATAGACCAGAGCTGGGGAGTCTCTAATTTAAAAGAATGTGCAGGGAGCTGTTTTTTTTTTAAAAAAAAAGGATATTTGGGCCCAAGGGCTGGCAGCAGCCTGGGCACAGGTGGCCTCAGGTCATGGCTGCCTGTAGTGCCCACTGGGCAGGGGGCTCAGGGGGGGTCCCATGTTGGGAATTGGGGACCATGGATTAGTGCTGGGGACACCAGTTCAGCACTGGGGTCCATGAGTTGTTCTGGGGACCCCATATTAGTGCTGAGGACCACAGGTTAACATTGATGACCCCAGATTATCACTGAGGACATCAGATTAGCACTGGGGGCCATTGGTTAGTGCTGGGGACCACAAATTAGTGCTGACAACCCCAGATTAGCACTGGGGACCCCAATTAGCATAGGCAGAGACCCCGGGGCTGCTTTGGGCAGGTTCATCTCCTGAACTCCCAGCCTAGTTCTGGGTCTCTCTCTCCAGTGTCGTGTCACAGCAGGGTCTCAAGGAGGTTGGTGTGTTTGGAGAATTCCTTTTCGTTTCCTCTATGTCTTGATTTTGCAGGAGAGGAGAAAAAACCCCACAACACCCAGCATGTCCAGGTGGACAGCTTTCCCTGGGCTTGGAGCCATGGGGATGTTGGGGGTTCTTTACTCTGGGATGTTGTGGTGGGAAGGGGCCAGAGAACATCCTGATGGATGTGAGGGGCAAAGGATGTTTAATTCACATACTTGTGTCACCGACTGTCCCCACATGTCACTTGGGTGCCCAGGGCAGGGTCTCCCAAGGGAGGGGTAGCTCCTGCCTTCTCCCCAGTGCTCTGCCCTGACAGTGTCACCCTTTGCAGCAGGACCTGCTGCATTTTGAGGTCCTTCCTGGTAGCAAGAGGGGGTTTTGCCATGGCCGTGCTGGCTCTGGGCCCATCAGGATCCCTGAATTGCAGCCTCAGTCCTGCCCAGGGTGTGGGGGCTGGTTTCCCCTCCCTGGTGCCATGCTGGGAGGTGACAAGGTGTGTGTGTCCTTGCAGGGAGCAGGCAGAAGAGGAGGTGGACCCCAAAGCACGAGCCAAAGCCAACTGGCTGAGAGCCTTCAACAAGGTCTGCATGCAGCTGCAGGAGGTGAGGACCCCCTGGCCACTGCCCTGGGCTGGGGGCACGGCCCCTTCCCACGCCCTGGCAGCTTCCAGGGACATCCACTCCCCAGGGACCCATCCTGACCTGGGGGCCCCCAGCAGTGGTGGCCCCACAACCCCATTCCTGCCAGGTGGGACCCCCGGAGGGGCCTGGAGTGCTGAGGACCCCCCGTGTGTGCTGCATGCGTGTGCTGGTGCGAGCCCCCCACTCTCTCCCCTCTGTTGAGTTGACAATATTTTGTTTTGTTTTTAGACTCCATCCTCCATCTTTTCTTTTTGTTTTGGCTCTGGATTCGCTCCCTGGGGTCTCGATCCCCCTCCCCACCGCTTCTCTTTTCAGTTCTCCACCACCATGGCCCTTGCACCCGCGTCTCCCCTCCCTGCAGGGAAGGGGTGTAGCCTGCCTGCAGGTAAGCATGTCCCCCTGGAACCTCCCAGCAACCTGTGTGCCTTCCCTGTGTGTGTGTGTGTGTGTGTGTGTGCAGGGATTGCCCCACAAGGGCAATGGTCTCTCTCTTCCCCTGAAATAATCCCCTCCTGGCAGGGGAGGTGGCACTGCTGGACTGTCCCTGCACACACCCCCACTTCCATGTGCTCTGGCTTTTCCCTGCTCTTCTCTCCGACTACTGTGGGTGCCCCAGGACCAGCTGAGCCATTATGATGATTTTCCACTACCCCAACTCCCAAATTTTAGCACGATGTAGCCACCCACCCTGCTTTGCCAGCCTGAGCCCCTCTGCTGAAGCCCCCCCACTGCTCGCCCAGCTCAGCCTCCTCTTTGCTGGGAAGAGCCCCGTTGGTTTTGGAACGCTTTTCTCTACCCACCCTGCTCATCCTCCCATGCTTCCCCAGTGCTGGGGGCACAGTGGGGTGCTCACTGCCCTGGGGAGGCTGCCCCCCACTCTCGTGGATCCCACTGTGCCCCTGACACTGTCCTGTGTTTTCCAGGCCCGCGGGGAAGGTGATGGAGAATCCAAATCGCTGTGGTTCAAAGGCGGGTGAGTACAAGGGGAAGCTGGAATGTTCTGCCCCGTCTCCGGGATCTCAGCCCCCTCCTCATTAGGATGTGATTAACAAGCTCAGCAGTGGGCCTGCGTGGGGAAGGGTTGCCGAGCTGTGGGCATGCAGGGGGGCCAGATTTTGGGGCTCAAAGCTGGTTGATGTCTGGTGCTTTTGGAGGAGCCAGCAGAGATGACACTGCTCTGTGTCCCCAAGAGCTGCTGCCAAGGGGGAGAGCGAGAGGTGAGTTGGGATGGGACTGAGTTGGGCTGGCAACTCCTGCTTCCCTCATGGAGTGATGCCATGGGGAATCCTGAGCCTCTCACCTCCATGGCCTGTTTTGCCCTTGCAGACAGCTCTGCCGTGCCTCCAGGCAGAACGTGGCAGTTTTCCCTGAGAATTCCCAGATCACGCCAGGGATTTCTCACAGACAGGGATGCAAAGCTGAATTCCTGCCTCAGTTCTCTTGCAGCAGAACTCAAGGCTCACGTGCTCAGTGCTCCCCTTCGGGGTCCCAGAGGGAACCCCCAGCTCTCCCGCCCCACACTGCAAAGCCAAAGCTGACTAAGCCAAATGGGCTGGCTTTTCCTGAGTTTCTCTGTTGCACTTCATGTGGGGAAAATCACAGTTTCCTGCCCAAATCCCCTCCCCCCTCAGCTTTTAGTCCAGTGATCCCTGCCCCAGTTGGGGTGGTGGTGAGCCTGGGGGCCCCATGGACAGGTCCCAGCCACAGAGGGATTGTTCTGCAGTTCCATCTGCCAAGTCTTAGACAGTAGGAAGAAATTCTTCTCTGAGAGGGTGGTGAGGCCCTGGCACAGTTTACCAGAGCAGCTGTGCCTGCCCCATCCGTGAAAGTGTTCAAGGCGAGCTTGGACCTGCCTTGGAGCAACCTGGGCTAGTGGAAGGTGTCCCTGCCTGTGGCAGGGGGTGGAATGAGGTCAGACCCAAACCAGCCTATGATTCTATGAAATCCTGAGTGACCATGGGGCAATAACAGGGTGCCCCTTCCTGCCTCAGTGTGCCCCTCCCCTCTGACTCTCCTCTCTCTTGCAGGCCTGGTGGTGGGCTGATCATTATAGACAGCATGCCGGACATTCGCAAGCGAAAACCCATCCCCCTAGTTAGCGATTTGGTGAGGTTCCTCCTCAGGCACCACCCCCTCAGCTGCCGGCTTCGCTCCCGCTGCGCCCCACCGGACTGCGCCCGTGCCCTGCTCCCCAGCTGCCTCTAACATGGCTTGTGTTCTCTTGTTTTCTTTCCTGTGGCCTGGCTGGGCTTCCCCCGCGGCAGGGGGGCGGCTGTAAGGTTTCTGCGCTGCATTAACAGCATGCCCGACATTAAGCCTGGACGCAAATCTCTCCCTCTAGTCAGCGATCTGGTGAGCGCGGTCCGAGGGGTTAAAGAGAGAGCGCCCTGGGGTGCTGCCGGCCAGCCCTCAGCTCCCCCAGCCCTGCCAGAGGGGGGCGGGGCTGTCCCAGGCTGGTTTGGGGGGCTCCTGGCCCTCCTTGCAGTTGGGGGGAGCTGTGAGGATGGCACAGCTGGGCTCTCCCTACCCGAGGGTGCTTCTCTTTAACGGAGCTCCGGTCCCTACACCAAGCATCAGCCCGAGGCTTCCCGGGGCTGCTTCTGGTTTCCCATTTTTTGGCTGGTCCTCCCCTGTCCCCCCTGCTGTAGGTCCCTGCAACTTGGACCATGCTGGTGCTGGACAGATGGACCCCTGTACCAGGGGAGGGGTGGCAGTGGCTTTTCCAAGCTGCCCATCCCCTCTGGTCCCATCCCCACTGTCCTGCTGTGCTTTCACAGCCCAGTGTACGGGGCTGGGGATGCCCCATGTATGGGTCCCCCATGCTGGGGTCCCTTCCAGCCTCTGGGCTCTAAGGCACAGGGTCACTCTGCTGTCCTCTCCCTGGTGACAAGAGACAGTAATTTTGGAAACCAGACACCCTTTATCCCCAGAAATAGGTGTCCTTCCCCTCCTTCTCCCTCACTTTACACCTTGCCTTTACACTGTGTGCCCTTCCCAGGGTGCCACCCTCCTGTCCCCAACCTGTCTCTCCCCCCACCCCCTGCCCCCTTGCTGCCCCCCACCCAGTACCCCCCACCCCCAGCCCACTTGGGCAGCCGCTGATGCTTCTGCACTGTGCTGTGTTGGTGTTTTGGGGTTTTGGGGGTTGGGAGGTGGGTGGGGGTGAGGGTGGGCAATGTGTGGGGTTTGAGGGGGCTGCTTCCTTTCCCTGCTGGGGTTTGCAGGCTGCAGCCAGTGCTGGGCTCGAGGACACAGTCCCCCCCACCAGGGACTGCCCAGTGCTGGGTGAAGGGGGGTGCTGCCCCCATTCCAAGTGGTTCTGTTGGGGAAGGGGCTCTCCTGGGAAGTGTTTGCACTAATGGCCTTTTATTCCCCCCTTGCTGGCTCTGGCTGCCCACAGGCCATGGTAAGTGCTCCCCACCCCATCTCCCCAGGGGTTTCTGGCACATTTTGAGAGGCTCTGCCCTGCTGGGGCTGAGCTGGGAACGCCACAGGCTGCTGAACTGGTTCCAGTCCCACTGCACAGCAGAACTGGGCTGTCCCCTCTGCCCCCGAATGCAGCCAGGAGCCCTCCCTGTCTGGGGTTGGGGTCTGTCCTGGGTGTTCTACAGCCACTGGGACCCCAAAGGAGTGCAGGAGGGTCCCCCCACACTCTGCTGGATTTGGGAACTCTGTTTCTTTCCCACAGTCCCTGGTCCAGTCCAGGAAAGCGGGAATCACGTCCGCACTGGCCTCGAGCACCTTGAACAACGAGGAGCTGGTAGGTGCTGGGTGGGCTGGGGTGGAGGTGGTTGTGGTGGGGGGCTGAGCCCTGGGGGCTGGGCCAGCAGTGAAGGTGCAGGGTGTGTGCCACACCAGCGTCCTCTGGCAACGCCTGAGCAGCTGGGTGTAGAGTCATGGGATTATTGAGGTTGGAAAAGACCTTTAAGATCATCAAGTGCAACCATCAGCCCACCACCACTAACCCACGTCCTCAAGTGCCACCCTCTGCCCTGCCTGAGCTTTTCTCCTCCCTTCTCTCTCCTGTCCCTGCTGAAAACAGAAAAACCATGTTTACAAGAAGACCCTGCAAGCCTTAGTGTACCCCATCTCCTGCACGACGCCCCACAACTTCGAGGTGTGGACGGCCACCACCCCCACCTACTGCTACGAGTGCGAGGGGCTCCTGTGGGGCATCGCCCGGCAGGGCATGCGCTGCGCCGAGTGCGGCGTCAAGTGCCACGAGAAGTGCCAGGACCTGCTCAATGCCGACTGCCTGCAGAGTAAGGACACAAAAGCCTTGTCCCTTCTGCCCTTGGAGAGGGAGGATGGAGTGGCCTGGGAGAGCTGGGCTCCTGCCTTGAGTGTGGGGGAAGTGGTGGGCAGGGCAGACCTGTGATGGGAAGGGGAGTAGAGCCCTCCAGGTTTGAATTAATTAATGCACAGAATCGCAGAATGGTGGAATTGTCAAGGTTGGAAAAGACCTTTAACATCACTAAGTCCAATCATCAATCCAGCACTGCTGTGGTCACTACTGAACTGTGTCCTCAAGTGCCACATTCACATGTTTTTTATACACTCCCAGGGATGGTGACTCGCCACTGCCCTGGGCAGCCTGTGCCAATGCTTGACAACCCTTTCCATGAAGAAATTTTTTCCCAATATCCAACGTAAACCTCCCCTTGTGTAGCTCAAGGCCGTTTCCTCCTGTCCTGTCCCCAAGCCCATCATGCCCACCTGAGAGAGCTCTGTGCTCTCTCCTGGACACCACCTGCCTCCCACGCCCTCTCACCCGTGGCTGTCCTCCCCCAGGAGCAGCAGAGAAGAGCTCCAAGCATGGAGCAGAGGACCGGACCCAGAACATCATCATGGTGCTCAAGGACCGCATGAAGATCCGGGAGCGCAACAAGCCAGAGATATTTGAGCTGATCCAGGAGGTGTTTGGGGTCAACAAGACCACGCACACACAGCAGATGAAGGCAGTGAAGCAGAGTGTCCTGGACGGCACCTCCAAATGGTCGGCCAAGATCAGCATCACGGGTAGGCAGCTGCCCTGTTTGGCCACGGGGACAAGGCTGTTCCCAGCACAAGGATGCTGCATGGCCCAACCCCTCATCCTGCCGAGCAGCTTCAGCCCCTGGGGCTCTGAGGGGGCACAGGTGCCTGTTTTGGGGGTCTTGGTGTGGCTGTGGCACTGATTTCTCTCTCTCTCTGTTCCCTCTGCCGTGTGTGCCGTGCCTGTGCCACGTGTGGATGGGTGTGCATCCCGTGCCGTGCTGTGCCGTGCTGTGCTGCAGTGGTTTGTGCCCAGGGCCTGCAAGCAAAGGATAAGACGGGTTCCAGTGACCCCTATGTCACTGTCCAGGTTGGAAAGACGAAAAAAAGGACTAAAACTATCTACGGCAATCTCAACCCAGTCTGGGAGGAGAATTTCCATTTGTAAGTTCACCCCCAGTCCCCTCATCCCCCTGCATTGCTGTGCTGGGCTGTGCTGGCTGTCAGCGTGTCCCTTTGGAGTGGGCGAGCCAGCTGGGCCTCATCCTGCCCCCACTGAGGGTGGAGGGGGTGCTGGGGTCCCTTGGGGTCCTGTTTTTGTGCCATGGAGGGTTGGGCTCCAGGGGCTGATCCCAGCTGTGCTGGGGCTATACTGAGCCAACTGGGGAGGGTTTGGTGCCCCCAGATCTGCTCTCTTCCCTCGTTCCTGCCCTGTGTTGGGCTGGTCGCTCTTGTTTAGGGAAGCAGAGGATGGGGAGAAGCTGGAAAGGCTTCCCTGCTCATCCCAGGGCTTTGCTCCTTCTCACCTCCCCAGCGAGTGCCATAACTCCTCTGACCGCATCAAGGTCCGTGTGTGGGACGAAGACGACGACATCAAATCCCGCGTCAAACAGCGCTTCAAGAGGGAATCCGACGACTTCCTGGGCCAGACCATCATCGAGGTCCGGACCCTGAGCGGGGAGATGGACGTCTGGTACAACCTCGGTAAACACCTCCCTGACACAGCCTGAGACCCCAGCCCTGCGCTCTGGGGGGATGACACAGCCCGGCCAGGCTGGGACCCCAGCCCTGGGCTCTGGGGGGATGACACAGCCCAGCCAGGCTGGGACCCCAGCCCTGGGCTCTGGGGGGATGACACAGCCCAGCCAGGCTGGGACCCCAGCCCTGGGCTCTGGGGGGATGACACAGCCCGGCCAGGCTGGGACCCCTGCCCTGGGCTCCACAGACATGCTACAAGCCCTGGCCTGAAGGGCTATAGCAGTAGCAGCAATATAAACATAACTATAAAAAATATAGACAAAATTATATAATAAATATATACAATAGCTATACAAATATAATTATCTATTTCAATATAAAAATTATAGAAATATAAACATATATAAATATGATATTATAAATAATATATATATATTAAAAAAAATTCATATCTGAAGTCATTGGGATCAAGTGTTTTCCCAGGGTCATTTGCAGAACCTTTAGCCCAGGAGGTCTGGAGCACTGGCCCTCTGCAGAGAGGAAACTGAGGCACAGAGAGGCCACGTCTCTGGTGTCTGGAGATGTGGCCAAACCCCTCTCTTCAGTGCCTTGGTGGCACTGTGCCCTGGCCTGGCTGCACATGGTGCTGGGTGTCCGTCCAGCTCTGGCCCTCAGAGTCCCTCTGTCCTGGAGCATTCTGCCCCTCCTTGGGGCCAGGAGTGAGCAGGGTTGCTCTGGGGAAGCCTCACACCTCGTGCCCCTCCCTGTGCCCCACAGACAAGCGGACAGATAAGTCAGCGGTGTCGGGAGCCATCCGGCTGCACATCAGCGTGGAGATCAAAGGCGAGGAGAAGGTGGCCCCCTACCATGTCCAGTACACCTGCCTGCACGAGGTGAGCAGCCCAGGCAGGCACGGGGGGCACGGCCCCTGCCCCGGCGATGCCACCCTGCCACCATCGGCCCTGGGGACCTGACGGGACTCGTTTGTACCTCCAGAATCTGTTCCACTTTGTGACGGATTTGCAAAACAACGGGGTGGTGAAGATCCCCGATGCCAAGGGGGATGATGCCTGGAAGGTGTACTTTGATGAGACGGCGCAGGAGATTGTGGATGAGTTTGCCATGCGCTACGGGGTGGAGTCCATCTACCAGGCCATGACGTGAGTCACCTGCCCCTCACCTGGCTCAGAGGGGCTGTGCCAGCCTCGACAGGGGATCACTGTCCCCATCATCCTCCCCTGCTGCCATTGGCACCCGCCTCCCTGCCACGGGTCAGACTTGCCCCAAACCTGTGCCCGTCCCTCCCCTTCTCAATGCACTCTGGCACGGCCTCACCTCAAGTCCTGGGGGCACAGTGTCAGATCTGAAGCTGTTGGAGAGTGTCCAAAGGAGGGACAGGGAGCTGGGGAAGGGTGTGGAGAGGAAGGGTGTGAGGAGCAGCTGAGGGCACTTGGCTGGGTCAGCTGGAGCAGAGGAGACTGAGGGGAGACTCCTCGGGGGCTGCAGCTCCTCCCGAGGGCAGGCGGAGGGGCAGGCGCTGAGCTCTGCTCTGGGACCAGGGACAGGAGCCAGGGAAGGGCTGGAGCTGTGCCAGGGGGGCTGGGATGGATCTCAGGGAAAGGTTCTTCCCCCAGAGGGTGGTGGGCACTGCCCAGGCTCCCCAGGGCAGTGGGCACGGCCCCAAGGCTGCCAGAGATCCAAGAGCATTTGGACAACGCTCTGAGGGACAGGGGGGATTGTTGGGGTGTCCTGAGCAGGGCCAGGAGTTGGACTGGATGATCCCTGTGGGTCCCTTCCCGCTCAGGATATCCCAGGATTCTGTGATTCTCAAACCCCAAACCCTTCATCCCCTCCCATGGCCCTATGCCCTCACCTTCCCCCTCTCTCCACAGACATTTTGCCTGCCTCTCCTCCAAGTACATGTGCCCGGGGGTGCCAGCAGTGATGAGCACCCTGCTCGCCAACATCAACGCCTACTATGCCCACACCACGGCCTCTACCAACGTCAACGCCTCCGACCGCTTTGCTGCCTCCAATTTCGGGGTAAGTCCAATGGTGCGTAAACACTCTTTCCTTCTTCTCTCTTTTCCTTGGGAGGGGGAGGGGGGCTCGGGGAGCAACACGAGCCGTGCAAAACACCCCGCTCCAAACTGCAGCCAGGCAGCAGCGGGGTCAGCCCCTGCTTGCCCCAAAAGTCATCCCGCTCCCGTTTCTCAGGAAGGACAAGAGCCACCGCCTTCCTGGGAGAAGGGCTAAATTTGCTCCCTGAATTATTAGGGGAGCCTGAGCGGACTGGGATATTGAGTGGCAGCGTGGCAGGAGGTGGGACGCCTTGGTGGCAAAATCAGAAGGAGGTGGCCAGGAGCCACCGCTGCAGCTCACGGGGAGTTTTGCATGGCCTCGTGCATTTTGGGTGACCACGGGCCTGCCACAAACTCACCCAGCTGTGCCAGCACCCACTGGGTGCCTTCAAGGGCGAGTTTGTGGCAGGGCCGGGTGCCCCTCGGGGATACGGGTGAAGAGGGGCTGAGCTCTCTCCTCGGCTCCCCCCTGTGCCATCCCAGAGGCAGGAGTTGTTCGCTCTGGGTGTGCACGGGTCGAGCCGGGGTCAGTGCCCAGCCCGGGATGTAGCAAGGAGCTGGGTAGCCAGGGACACAGCCAGGGTCGAGCACAGCTGCAGGCAGCTTTGGCTCACCTCCCCGCTCCACTGCGGGGGGTGTAGCTGGAGCCCAGCGAGCTGTGCCTCCGGATCGCACACGAGGAGGAAACTGCACCAAAAAAAACACCGCCTTTTCTCTGACGTGGAGGGTTTTAAAAACTTGTCTCTTTCTCTTTTTTTAGAGAGCCTAAGGTTGGGTCCTAAAGTGCCCGGCCGTGTCGCTTTAACGCTGAGTACCCGTCGTGTCCAGTGTTAGCGCTGCAGCCGTTCCTTGGGTGTCGGGGACGCACGGCCCGGCCCCGGGCCTGGCTGGGCCATCCCGGCGGGCGAGTGCCGAAGGTTTGCGGTGGCCAGCGCAGGCTGCGGGCACGGCTGAGCCGCAGCTGGGCGGGCGCGGGACTCGCTGCCCCGCCCCGTCCCCGGGTCCTGTCTCCCAGGACTCGCAGCACTGCTCCGGGCTCTCCGGAGCCCTGCGGGTCAGCCCTGACCCGGTACAGCCGTGCTGGGGGGAAACCCAGGGTTCTCATGGGAGGCCCACGGGGTTGTGCCAAGCCTCCCCCCAGCAGGATGCAAAGGGAAATGACCCCTGACAGTCATTTGGGGCAGTTATTGGGAAGAAATTCTTCCCTGTCAGGGTGGTGAGGAACTGGCACAGGTTGCCCAGAGAGGTGGTGATTTCCAGGGTTTCATCCCTGGAAGTGTTCCAGGCCAGGTTGGACAGTGCCCTGAGCAACCTGATCTAGTGGAGGGTGTCCTGCCCGTGACAGGGGTGCAATGAGATGGCCTTTAAGGTCCCTCCCAACCCAAACCAGTCTGTGATTCTTACTGGTTGCTTTGCCCTCAGCTCTGACCCCCAGTCTAATCCACAGCCCAAGGTGGGATTCGCATCGCCCTGCCCTGCACTCCCTGGGTGGGAGCTGGGCTGAGCTGAACTAAAGCCCCTCAGCCCTAAAGGAGACCACCCACCTGGGGTGTTCCCTGCCCACATCCCTCAGTGCAGCCCAGTGGGGCGAGCAAGGAGCCCATGGAGGTGTCGAACTCCTGGGGGCCACCCTGAAGATGGGCAACCACTGCAAGCCCTTTCCCTGCCCTTTTTCCTGAGCTCTTGGAAAGCCTCAATCCAGGGGCTATGGATCCTTGCACCCACTGTCCCAGCTCTTGCCCTGAGCCCCGGCTCGGAGGTGTTCCAGTGGTCGGGGCAGACAGAACAGCCTGTCACCCCCGCAGCAGTGACTGCCAGCACAGGGGACACGTGGTGTCACCTCTCTGTCCTACACCACACCCGGCGTGACCACACCCGGGAGCCGCCGAGGGCTGCGGGTGAGCCCCGGCCAGCGGTGAGGACAGGCTCTTCCCTGCAGGCACATCCTGCCCCGCAGGGCTTGGGTTCAGGAAGGAGGGAAGGAAGGGCAGCAGGACAGCAGGAAGCAGAGAGATGAGCCGCGAGCAGCGGGGACTGGGCTGGGAGCAGAGAGAGCCAGGGGCGGGGGGAGGGGGGTCGGGCTCTGCCGCCGTTCCCCTGTTGACCTGCCCTGGGGCGTTTCTCCGCAGAAAGATCGCTTCGTCAAACTCCTGGACCAGCTGCACAACTCCCTGCGCATCGACCTCTCCATGTACCGGGTAAGGTGCCCGCCCTGCCTCGGTTCCCCCCACCTGGCTGATGAAGTCTGGAACAACAGCTGGCTGTTTCCTCCCCCTCGCTCCCCCCTGTGAGAGTTTTGTGGGCAACTCCCCCCCTTTTCTTCCCAGAACAACTTCCCTGCCAGCAGTCCCGAGCGGCTGCAGGATCTCAAGTCCACAGTGGATTTGCTGACCAGCATCACCTTCTTTCGGATGAAGGTACTGCTGGGGCCCCACTTACCCCGTTTTTGGGGGGGATCGGACTCTCACTGGCCCTGGTTCTGTGGGGGTTGAGGTCGTTCTGGCCCGTGGTACCCCTGCGTGGGTGGCTGGGGGTGTGGGTCTGCCCCCAACGCCGCTCCCTCCCTGCATCCCAGGTCCAGGAGCTGCAGAGCCCCCCACGAGCCAGCCAGGTGGTGAAGGACTGTGTGAAGGCCTGTCTCAACTCCACCTACGAGTACATCTTCAACAACTGCCACGAGCTCTACAGCCGCGAGTACCAGACAGACCCAGTGCGTGGGGCAGGGGGTGCTGGGCAACGACCTTCCCCATCCCCTGCCCCTCTCCTTTTCCCAGTGCTCCTGCTCCCTCTCCAGAGCACTCAGCCCGGTGCAGAATGAGTCCCTAATCTTGGGCAGGGCCTAAGCCCCAAAGCTGCAGGGTTGAGATCACAAGAGACAAGAGGGGGCTGTGTGTGGGCATCCAGGGTGTTCCCTCCCTCCTCCTTGTTAGCTCTGACACAAATCTGAGCCCTGCAGGTGGGGTGACCGGAATCTCCTCTGTGTCCTCATCCCTCCAGAATAAGAAAGGCGAGGTGCCCCCTGAGGAGCAGGGCCCCAGCATCAAAAACCTGGATTTCTGGTCCAAGCTCATCACCCTGATCGTCTCCATTATTGAGGAAGACAAGAACTCCTACACACCCTGCCTGAACCAGTGAGTGGGTGCTGGGGAAGGGGATCCTGCTGCACCCAGAGGGGATTTCCACATGGAGGCAGTGGGAACCTGAGGCCTTTGGAAGTGGGTGTAACACCTGTTCTACAGATGGGAAAGCTGAGGCAGGTGGGCAGTGTGTGGGGGATGTCTCTCCATGTGGAGGGCTGGTCCACCTTGTATTCATAGCCTCAAACTCTGCCAGGGGAGGTGCAGGTTGAACATCAGGAAGAATTCTGTGGAGAAGGGTTGTTAAGCATTGGAAGGGGCTGCTCAGGGTGGAGGCACCGTCCCTGGAAGTGTTCAAGGAACAGCTGTATGTGGCACTTAGTGCCGTGGTCTAGTTGACAAGGTGGTGATTGGGCAAAGGTTGGACTCAATGGTCTTGGAGTTCTTCTCCAACCTAAATGATTTTGTGATCTACATTCTCCCCTCGCCCCAGATTCCCCCAGGAACTGAACGTGGGGAAGATCAGCGCCGAGGTGATGTGGAACCTCTTTGCTCAGGACATGAAGTATGCGATGGAGGGTGAGTCTCCCCCACCCCCCCAAGCCAGCAGGGGAACCAGACAGGAACTGCCCTCTGCTCCCACCTCACCTGTTCCCTGAGCAAACCCATTTCACCTCCTCATCAACACCATGCCCAGCTTAAATCCCATGCAGGAAGCACTTCCACCTTCCCTGCTAACCCGGCATCCCTGGAGCTGCCCCTGGGGAGCTGCCCCCCAGGTTTTTGGGGCTTAGAGTGACCCCCACCACACCCTTCTCCGTGCAGAGCATGAAAAGCACCGGCTGTGCAAGAGCGCAGACTACATGAACCTGCACTTCAAGGTGAAGTGGCTGTACAACGAGTACGTCACCGAGCTGCCCTCCTTCAAGAGCCGCGTGCCCGAGTACCCAGCGTGAGTGCAGCCCTGGGGCAGGGAGGGGGGCTGGCACCCTGGGGGCTGGGGGCCTCACCACGGGTGGGTTTCCCTTCCAGCTGGTTCGAGCCCTTCGTTATCCAGTGGCTGGATGAGAACGAAGAGGTGTCGCGGGATTTCCTGCACGGAGCACTGGAGCGGGACAAGAAGGATGGGGTAGGAGCGGCTGGAGCTGCAGTCAGGGGCCGAGGGGCTTGTTCTTGGATGTGTCTTCATTGGGCCAAAGTCTTGTCCCTGCCTCCTGCTGACACCGCCTCTCACTCCCACAGTTCCAGCAGACGTCAGAGCACGCCCTCTTCTCCTGCTCCGTGGTGGATGTCTTCTCCCAGCTCAACCAGAGCTTTGAGATCATCAAGAAGCTGGAGTGCCCCGACCCCCAAATTGTTGGGCACTACATGCGGAGGTTTGCCAAGGTGGGCGGCTTGGTGGGGGTCATCAGCACCCCTGGTACCCCTGCCTGGGGCTCCCGGGCTCTCCATGCCACCTCCATCCAGCTTTGGCAGGGGCACAGGACACAGAATGTCCCACCAACATGCCCTGGAACACTCCCAGCTTTTCTAGCACAGACGATTAATTAATTAATAGCTAATTAATGAGTTATTTGGTTAATTAATATAGATTAATTAAAACTCGCTGCTCGCTGCAGTGTAGGAGGGAGTTGCATGCAGGCTTGGTGTGCTGGTGATGGAACTGCCCATGGAGACCAGATGTGCTGGATCTTGCTTCCAGTGGCTGTGTCCGTGTGGCTCCTGGCACATGAACATGAGCCAGGTGTGCCCACGTGGGCAAGGAGGCCAAAGGTACCTGGCCTGTACCAGCCACAGTGTGTCCAGCAGGGCCAGGGAAGTGACTGTCCCTGTGCTGGCACTGCTGAGGCACCACCTCAAATCCTGGGGTCAGTTTTGGGTCCCTCAGGACAAGAAGGACACTGAGGGGCTGGAGCGTGTCCAGGAAAGGGAACGGAGCTGGGGAAGGGGCTGGAGCCCCAGGAGCAGCTGAGGGGGCTCAGCCTGGAGAAAAGGAGGCTCAGGGGGGATCTTCTTGCCATCTGCAACTCCCTGCCAGGAGGGTGGAGTGAGGGGAGAGTCAGTCTTCTCCCAGGTAACAAGTGATAGGGCAGGGGAGATGGCCTCAACTTGCATCAGAGGAGGTTCAGGTTGGATATTGGGAACATTTCTTCACTGAAAGGTTGTAAAGCACTGACACAGGCTGCCCACGGCAGTGTTGGAGTCACCATCCCTGGGAGTGTTCAAAACTGTGGATGTGGTGCTTGAGGATGTGGTTTGGTGGTGAACATGGCAGTGATGTTGGGTTGATGGTTGGACTTGATGACCTTGAAGGGCTTTTCCAGCCTTAACGATTCCATAATTCTGTGACCCACGGGGCCAGAGGGTGTGGGGATCCCAGGGTTTTATCCAGGCCTGGAGTTGTTTCACTGCTGTGGGACTGATGGTTTCCTTCTCTCCCTCCTTCCCCATCCCTGCTGCTGTGGGGGTGCCTTGGTTGCTGCCCTGTTTGCTGCAGACCATCAGCAACGTGCTGCTCCAGTACGCTGAGATCATCTCCAAGGATTTTGCCTCATACTGCTCCAAGGAGAAGGAGAAAGTGGTGATGTATCTCCCCTCTGCTTGTCACCTGCCCGGTGCTGCTGGGCAGGACTGTCCCCACGCAGTGACCCCGGCTGTCCCCTCTGCCCCAGAGTGGGTCCCCCTGATGTGGTCCTGCCCTCAGTCCCCTCCTGGCAGGCCCTGATGTGCCATCACTCTGTGCCATCAGTGTCCTTGTGTGCCCCAGTGCAAGGTGGGAGGGTCCTGGGGCCATGGCCTGCTGTCCCAGCCATATTTTTTGGTGCTGATTCTCCTCTCCATCCCACCCCTCCAGCCCTGCATTCTGATGAACAACATCCAGCAGCTCCGTGTCCAGCTGGAGAAAATGTTTGAAGCCATGGGTGGAAAGGAGGTGCGTACTGGGGGGCTCCAGGAGGGACCCCTGTGGAGGGGCAGCATGATATCCTTCCCCCCAGAGGCAGCCCCTTCCCTGGTTCCTCAGTGCTGGGAGCAGACCCCAGTTCCTCACTCCTGGGTGGGACCACGCTGTCCCACCCCATGGCACCCTGCTCTGCCACCATATCGGATCAGGATGGGCTTCACTCTGCCCAGGGGCACATGTGGGGTGCAGAAACCCCCACTAGGGCCGGTCCAGGGTCCCTGTCAACTTCTCCAACCTGTCCCTCCTCCAGCTGGACACAGAAGCCAGTGATATCCTCAAGGAACTGCAGGTGAAGCTCAACAATGTCCTGGATGATCTGAGCCGAGTCTTTGCCACCAGGTACCCCTGGGGGAGAGGGCACGGGTGGGGGGACACAGGGAGGTGTGGGGGCCCAGGAGCTGTGGCTGGGGGCTCTGTGGGGGGGGTGTTGAACCTGTGTGTTGTGGCCCCCAGTTTCCAGCCACACATCGAGGAGTGTGTGAAGCAGATGGGGGACATCCTGGGCCAGGTGAAGGGCACTGGCAACGTCCCCGCCAGCACCTGCAGCAGCGTCGCGCAGGACGCCGACAACGTCCTGCAGCCCATCATGGACCTCCTGGACAGCAAGTGAGTGTGGGGGGCTACAGGAACCCTCACCCTCCCCAGCACCCCTCCTGACCTGCTCCAGGAGCAGGGGGGACCTGCAGGGTCGGGGTGACCGGGAAGGGATGACGTGGAGTGCTCTGGGGGTCCTCCAGCCCTGTCCCCTCTCCACAGCCTGACGCTCTTCGCCAAGATCTGCGAGAAGACGGTGCTGAAGCGGGTGCTGAAGGAGCTCTGGAAGCTGGTGATGAACACCATGGAGAAGACCATCGTCCTGCCCCCCCTCACGGACCAGACGGTGAGTGATGGGGACAGGGAGACACTGGTGACTGACTGGGGCCAGTGTGGGACACTGCTGGCCAAGGTGCCCTCACGGGCTGCTGAGGGCACTTTGTGGGCGTCCCCAGACTTGTACCCAACTCCTGGCCAGGGAAGGGATGGAAGAGAGAAAGGTGCCCCAGGTGCCAGTGCAGCCTCTTGGCTGGCTTTGCCAAAGGACCTTCCTGCCACCTCCATTGTGGCACCGAGAGGGAACAATGGTCCTTTCCTCTCCATCCTTTCCTCAGAGCTGGGGCAGCATCCCATCAGCACTGGCTGTGGGCACGGTCTCTGCCAGGAGGTGAATCCAGAGGCTCCTGGAGTGTGAGGAGCCACTACTTGTCAGCCTTGCTGTGGGGCTGGGGGGTTTCACAGAGTTGGGGATGCTCTGGGGATGGGGGTCATGTCCCCCAGCAGGGCTGGGCTCTTCCTTGCCCCTGGGGGCTCTAGGGCAGCAAAGCAAACCCAGGGAATGGTGCCTCCTGAGAGGGAGGTTCCTACAGGCTCTGAGGCTCCGTGTCACATTGCTGTTTGTGTGCCCCAGCCTGCATCTTGTAGCTTCCCGGGGTGGTTCTCTGGAGGTCAGGCAGGGAAGGGTGACACCAAGGGCTCTGACCCAGCCACACACCTGTCCCTGTCACTCTTTGGTGGCTTTTTTCACTGTTGCAAAGCTGGAGCCACCAGCCTTCCTGTCAGCTTTCTGGGGCTGTGGGGCTGCTATGCTGTGTCTGGGAGGGAGGGTGCAGTGGTGACCTGTCAGCCCTCAGTGGTGCCACCTCACTGGCACCTTGTCACAGCCCAGAGCCTGGTTTGGGTCAACCCCACATCGCTCCTGGCTGGGCCCACACACCCTTGGCCAAATGTTGCCAAATCTTGCAGGAGTGCTGGTGTCGCTTTCCCCATCCCAGTCCCTTCCCAGCTGTGTTCTGGAGGCCGTGGGCCCTGTGCTGAGGGCAGGGAAGGGGGCATGGACATGTGGCTCTGTTGGGTGATTTTCCTGAGTCAGGAAGCCTTGGAGGAAGCCATGCTGGGGCTGGTCCCTAGGGCAGGGGACAGCCTGCCCAAGTGGCCCTGGGTGCCATCCTGTGTGGCTGGGGGTACACGTCAGAGCTGAGTGTTGAGTGGGGGTCCCTGGAGCGGAGCCCCCTGGGACAAAGCCCCCCACCACATTCAGTAGGGACTGGAGAGAGGGGGATGGGGCCCCTGTGGGGGCTGTGGAGATGTGATGTGATGGCAGGGCAGTGACACTGAGTGCTGTGGTGCCTCAGAGGGGGGACACCCTGGCTCTGGCAGGGGTGGGGGGCACCCAGGGCTTGCTGTGGGGCAGCAGGGACTGGGGAGGATGGAGGAGGCGGGGGCCGACACTCACGTCACGGTTGTTCTCTCCAATTGCTCCTCTCGCCTCTCAATGGCAGATGATTGTAAGTACGGCAGCTCCCTGTCTGTCTGTCTGTCTGTCCGCTCTGTGTCGGTCCTGGCCTCGCCGGTTTTTGTCTTGTGTGGCTGCCCTTGCTCTGCCCACGACCCTCCTTCGGCTCCTGACCTGGTGCAGCTCCGTGGTCCCCATCCCCGTGCTGCCCACCTGGCACTGGCTCCTGGCCGGCACTTGCCAGTGGGTGGGAAGGTGTTGGACAGACTGGCAGTTCTGGGGTGTGGGGGGGTCCAGGGGGAAGTGATGGGGTGGGAGGGGATGGTGATGGGCAGTGCCACGGAACCGGGGACAGCTGAGCCCGGGCTGATCCCGCCTTGCTCTGTGCTGGGGGCGGAGAGGCCGCTGGAGGCACGAGCAGGGAGTGGTGTGTGCCGGGAGTCAGGGCTGCTCTTCCTTCCCCTCGTGCCTCAGTTTCCCCTCGAGGCCCTGGCTGGGGTCTGACTGGGGTGGGGTGAGGGCAGAGAAGGATCTCGGTGGTCCCTGCCCAGGTGCTCGGTGGCGGGTCAGGCTGCTGGCACGAGTTGTGGGGCTCCTTCCCTGCCTGGGATGTGACCCTGGGAGCCTGGACTCCCAGTTCCCTCCTCGGCATCGCTGCTGGGTCCTTGCATGGCTTTGACTGAGCAGTTTCCTTCTGTCCTCTTCTGACCAGTCTGTGGCAAGAGAAAGGCAATTCCATCCCCAGTCCTGTCCCCACCCCTGCTGTGACTCAGGAACCTGTGCAGGAAGAGCAGTGGGATGGGAGCCAGTGGTTGGGTGCTGGTGCCAATTCCTGAGGGGGCAAATATTCTTCTGCTATCCCCCAACACCTTTTGTGTCCAACAGCAGCATTTGGGGAGGCCCTGGGGCAGCCTGGGGCTGAGCCTCCCCTCGGACCTCGTGGGGACCCAGTGTCTCAGCCTTGCTGAGGCTGTGGGGGATGGGATAGTGTCAGCTCTGCATACCAGCTCCTCTTGTTCACCTGTGACCCTGTGCCAGGGCCAGAGCCCCTCCTGGCAGCCCTGCTTGGCCCTACCTCTGCTGCTTGTCCCTCCTGAGGCTTCCCAGCCAGCTGACTCCCTGCTCCCCCCTCCTGATTCTGACATGCCCCAGCCCACCTCGAGACCCCCCCATGGCACTGCTGCCTCGTTTCTTGCCTGGACAAGTGTGGGGTTGTCACTGGGCCCAGCCCTGCACAGATCAGTGCTCTGTGTGCCAAAGCCAAACCCAGCTCCCCCTCCCTGCTCCCTCCCCAGTGCTGGGAGCACCTGCCAGAGCTGGAGAGGGGTGTGGGGGCACCAGAGCCTGCCCACACACAGCTGGCTCCTGCCTCCCTGTATCCCAGCAGGGACCATCCCTCATGGGCATCCCTATATCCCAGCAGGGACCATCACTTGGGGGCTCAGCATCCCTGTATCCCAGCAGGGACCATCCCTCGGGGGCTCAGCATCCCTATATCCCAGCAGGGACCATCCCTCATGGGCATCCCTATATCCCAGCAGGGACCATCCCTTGGGGGCTCAGCATCCCTGTATCCCAGCAGGGACCATCCCTCGGGGGCTCAGCATCCCTGTATCCCAGCAGGGACCAGCCCCACCATGTGGGGACCAGTTCTCCAGCAGTGCAACATCCTGTATTCCAGTGGGGACCAGTTGGTCCAGCATCCCGATGACACCAGTCCCTCACTGATTGTCCCAGTGGGGACCAGTGCCCCACTAACCAAGTATCCCAGTGGGTCCCAGCAGGGCCCAGTCCCCCTGCTGGCTGCTCTTGAGGAGCTCGGGATGTCTCTGCCACCAGCTTGTGGCCACCCCCTGTGCCCAGCCTTGCCCTGTCCCCCCCTGTGTCCTGTGCCACGCTGTCCCCCTGCCCCCCACTCAACCTCTGACGTTGCTTCTACAGGGCACGCTCTTGAGAAAACATGGCAAGGGGACAGAGAAGGTAAATAGCTGTGGGCTCCGTGTGTGTCATCGCCCCGGGGCCACACCCGCGGGCTCACACCCGCCTGCTGTGGAGGTCCAGGCTTGTCTGTGCTTCCTCTGTTGTGCTGTCTGGATGTGGTGTCGTGGTGGGGTGTGCTGTGTTGTGTGCAGGTGGGGGACAGTCACCTGTTCTGTGTCACCCAGGGTAGGGAGCGGGTGCTGTGTGGTGTTTGCCCCCATGGGGGGGACGTGGGGTGTCACCCATCCCCGTGATGGGGACGTGGGGTGTCACCCATCCCCACAGGGGACACGTTGGGTGTCACCAATCCCTCTGGGGATGCTGCCCCACAATCCTCAGCCCCCTCCAGTTACCTGGCTGGGATAATGAGGGGATGGGGTCCCCAACATGGGGGGGGCTCAGGAAGAGGGGACCCCCATGTTGGGCCGTGCAGGGCTCACTGGGGACCCTGGGGCTGCTGAGATCCCCTGGATCTCTGAGCTTGCTCCCCTCTCCTGCTCAGGGGAGCCCAGCAGGGCTTGCTGAGCCCCCAGCCTTGCCCCAAGGGCTTTCTCCAGCACGTGGGCTCTTTCCTGTCTGGGCTCCTCTCCACGGGGTGGGGGCCAGCACTGCCCCCCCAGACTGCCTGCTCCCCAGATCCTGGGTCTTGGGAAGAACCATGCCAGCATCCATCTGGGCAGTGCCTGCAGCTCCCCCTCCTCTCCTGGGGGACACTGGCTCCAGCCCAGTGTGCTGAGTGTGCTGGGAGAGCTGATTGCCTCTGATTTCCCAGCCCCAGTCGATGTGGGGAGCAAACCTGCCCCCCCTGCCCGAAGAAACCCGGCACACTCATCCCCAGCCCAGGGCTGAACCTTTGCAGGTGTGAACTGGTGCCCAAGCAGTGGCACCAGCGGAGAGCTGGGCACAGCCAGAGCAGAGCCCAGGGCCAGAGCCCAGGGCCAGAGCCCAGGGCTGGGGGATGTGGGGGGCCTGGAGCTGCGGCTCAGTGCTGCTGGGGCCACCAGTAACTGTCCCTTGCTGTTCTCTTCCAGAGCAGGGTGAAGCTGCCCAGTCACACTGAAGTAAGGACATGGCTCTTCTGCTCCCCACTTGGCACTGCTGCCTCCTCTCGCCTCCTCCCTGTCCCTTGTCCCCTGCGCTCTGGGTGGGGGGTCCCAGCTCAGTGCAGTGTCCTGTTGTGCTCTGTCTGGGGGACACCAGTGTCCCCAGCTCCCAGCCCCTCCACCAGCTGGGGGAGATGGGGACGTTGAGGGTGGGGTTAATGGGACAGAACTGGGTGGGCAGGGGAGTGGGCACAAAGGGTTCATGGGAGGGGGTGAAAAATGAGGGCCTAGAGGAGGCTGGACCCTGCAGATGGTACTGGGTAGTGGGAGAAATGGCGGGATTTCTTTGTTGAGAAGGACTGGAGCTACTGGTGCCGGGAGAGGGAGGGTGGGGGAATCACCAGGCTCCAGTTTAACCAGTTGCATTTGCACACTGGAGGAGTTGAGAAGGGGAGCTTGTGCTCAGCCTGGTAAGGGGTGCCAGCCCAGGGAGGTGAGCGGGGTGTGCCTGTGCCATGGGGCTGCCACGGCAGTGAGTCCCATGGGATGCCATCCTGACCCCTGCCACAGTGGGGGCACAGGGCAGGTTCCCTGGGCTCCCTGGGGTGCCCAGGGGCTGAGAGCCTCCCTGGGACTGGGCAGGGGTCCGGGTGTCAGGGGGTGTGTGTTGGCTGCCAGCACTGCAGGGTACAGGCTGTGTCCTCCCCGTGCCCGCTGTCCCCTGCACTCGCTCTCTGCTCCCGCCATGTCCGGTGTCCGTGCGGTCGGTGCCGTGCCCTGCCAGGCTCTGCTGGGTGCAGGTGCTTGGAGCACAGGGAGCAGGCTGGAACCCTTGGAACCCTTGGGCCAAGCTTCTTGTGCTGGGCAGAGCATGAGGACCCTGATGCCAGCGTGATGTCCTGCCCTGGGGGTCTCCCTGAGCCTGTGCTGAGAACTCAGGGGCTGAGACGGGGCTGCCAGTCCTGTGTCACCTTCCTGGCTTGGGTGGTGGCACCTGGGGCTCTCCAAGGAGCACTGGCCGGTCCCCTGGAGCCTGGGGGAGCCCCTGGAGCTGCAACAAACTTCTGGCAGGACGTGCCCAGCCCGACCATGGCACTCCCAGCCCGGCTGCTCACGGGAGCCATCCCTGTCTCTTTGCTCTCTGCAGGGCACGCAGATGATTTTCAACGCGGCCAAGGAGCTGGGGCAGCTCTCCAAGCTGAAGGTGAGGGCTGGGGGGCCGGGCTGGGGGTCTCCAAGCTGAAGGTGAGGGCTGGGCTGGCGGAGCTGAGTTCCTCTCTGCGCTGGGGTGGGTGCCCACTGTGCAGGCTGGCACTGCCACTGCTGCAAGGGCCGCACCAGTGCCCACTTGCTGATGTGTCTGGGGTGTGGGGAGTGGGGTGCTGGCTGTGCTGAGAGCAGGGTTTGTGCCCCCCAGGACCACATGGTGCGGGAGGAAGCCAAGAGCCTGACCCCGAAGCAGTGTGCCGTGGTGGAGCTGGCGCTGGACACCATCAAGGTGAGGACACTGAGGGGGCTCAGGGTGCCCTCAGGGCCACCCCAGCAGAAGCACTGAACATCCTGAGCCGTGTCCCCCTCCAGCAATACTTCCACGCCGGCGGGGTGGGGCTGAAGAAGACGTTCCTGGAGAAGAGCCCGGACCTGCAGTCGCTGCGCTATGCCCTGTCCCTCTACACCCAGGCCACGGACCTGCTCATCAAAACCTTCGTGCAGACCCAGTCCTCACAGGGTAGGACACTCTGCCCTGCCCCCCACCTGGGCCCCCAACCCTCCATGGGCTTGGCTGCCCCCAGGTCAGGGCCCTGCCTTGCCTCTGTCCCAAGGGGGTCCCAGCCAGGCTCACAGCAGGGCAGGGATGGGTGGGAAGGGAAGGGCTTTTCCTCCCGTGGTTTGCAGGTGAACTGGGGCCGTGGGTGCCCAGGGGCAGCCTGGCACTCCCCAGTCTCCACCAGCAAAAGGAGTGTGTCCCCAGTGCCGGGGTGTGGCTGGGCTGGCGCAGAAATGGGGCCTGTGGGTGGGGGGAAGTTTCACACTCTGGCCAAGTGTCACGGTGTTTGTCCCCTCTGGAGGGCCCCTGTCACCCAGCACAGACCAATCACAGGGTCCACTGGATCCAGATGCTGTGCTGGGGCCTGTCCTGGGCACTCTGGGTGCCCACACCCCCTGATTTGGCATCTGGGGTGCCAGGTGTATCTCCCCATCCCTGCCCTGTGCGGTGCAGGGTGCTGGGCACCCTCCAGGGCAGAATCACCCCTCAGCTCTAAACACTGCCCTTTATTTTGTCCCTTGGCTGCTTGAGGAGGGGCCTGAGATGCTCGGTGGTGGTCCCAGGCCACCGCAGGGTGCCCCAACCAGGCTTGTCTGCGTCCTCGGGGAGTGGGACGTGCGTTTGCTGTCCGTGAGTCTCCTGCAAAGGACGTCTGTCCTGTCTGTGCCTCCTGTACCAGCCATGTTGGGGGCGTGGGGTTGGGTCTGGTGGGTGCCAGCACCCCTGGGTGTAACCTGGCCCCAGGAGCCCCGGGCTCGGAGCTGGGGGTGCCTGGCACTCCTGTGTCGCTGCAGTGTTGTCCGGGTGCTTGGCCGTCCGTCTGTCTGCGAGATCTGATCTCTCTTTCTCTCTCTTTGTTTTCTCCCCCCTCCCTCACTGTTCCTGTTCCCCATGCACGTCATCTCCTCCCTCCTCCCTTCTTCTCCATCTCCTCCCTCCTCTCTTGGTTTTCATCTCCTTCCTCCTCTCTTTGTGGACTCCGTGCCGTGTCTCTGTCTCTTTCTCTCTCCTTCCCACTAGTTCATGGTGGGAAAGGGATTAGGTTTACCCTTAGTGAAGAGGTTTATCCTGAGAAGGGTACGTGTGCTACTCGCCCGCCCCTGCCCCTGCCTGCCGCCGGCCTGGGCTAGTAACAGTCCCCAGCCCAGCATCCCTGGCCTTGGGGACCCCCAATGCGGGCAGAGCTGGAGCCCACCACCCCCAAACTCCCGCTCCCAGGGCTGCTTTGGGGTGGATTTGGAGGAAACTGTGCTCAGCCCCACACTGACCACCCCCAGAGCGGGTTGGGGGCTGTCCCCATGGGAATAGGGGTGTCTGTCTGCACACTCTGGGCTCCCCACATTGTCCCCAGTGCTGCTGCCTGGGGGTGGGTGGGCACTCACCATGACCTCCCCTGGGGACATGTGACCCTAGGGGGGGCCGTGCCACGTCCCTGTGCCCCTTCCTGCCCACCCTGCTGCCAGCAGGACCATTACTAGCCTTGCTCCGGCGCGCTCCGTGTGCGGAATCAGCCCAACCCCACGGGCCCCGCTTGGCCTCCATCACACCCCGCCAGGGCGGCCGGGACTGCACCCCCTGCTTGGCCTCCCATGCCCAGACACCCCCTGCCCACCCTCCATCGCCTCCATTCCGGCTCAGCATGTGGCTCCGGGTGCCAGGGGGGATGGACAGGGACGTGCCAGCCTCCACCCTGCCCTGGCACCCTCAGTGACACGTGGGGACGTGTCCTCCCTCCACCGGTATTCCTGCCCTGGGAGCTTTCTGCTGAGCCCTATTTGATCTCCGTGGCCCCGTGGGACCCACAGAGCCTGTCCCTCTGCCTTGCACCCCCTCCTTCACCCATGGGTGCATGCACAGCTCTTGGGGGGGAGGGGGTGGGCTGAGCTGTTGGTCGCAGGTCACCCCACTTCCCCAGGCTCAGGGACCCCAGGGCTTGACGTGGTCTCTGGGATGGAGGGGTGTGGGGGGCAGGGCAGCCTCGAGAGCCTGGCAGGGCCATGGCTGCCCTGATGGGGTCCCTCCTGCCTGGTGCTGTGCCCATGGCACTGTCCTTCCTCTGTGCCCAGAGCAGGGGGAGCTGGACCTCTGGCCTCTGCCCCATCCCAGCCAGGCCCCTCAGTCCTGCCTGGGCAAGGGGGGTTCTCTGGAGCCTGTGGACATGGCAGAGTCAGCCTGGTGCTGGGGATGTCCTGCCATGTCCATGCATCCACACTGCTGCGCCCACAACCCTGTGGCAGAGGCCACTTTGGGACAAACCCCACTGCCCACCCCTTCCCGCCCCGTGGTGGGTGACCTGCCTCCTCCAGTGGGGTTGGTGGTGGGCAGGGGATGTCAGGGACACCGCCAGGACGGGCACTCACATCTCCCCGTGCCACGCAGGCTCCGGCGTGGAGGACCCCGTGGGGGAGGTGTCGATCCACGTGGAGCTCATCACCCACCCCGGCACTGGCGAGCACAAGGTCACCGTCAAAGGTGGGTTCTGCTGGCCAGGGGGCCGGGCTCTGGCAGGTGACAGCGCCCCGTGAGCCTCACCTGTCCCCTCCCCGCAGTGGTGGCTGCAAATGACCTCAAGTGGCAGACATCGGGCATCTTCCGGCCCTTCATCGAGGTCAACATCATCGGGCCCCACCTCAGCGACAAGAAGAGGAAATTCGCCACCAAATCCAAGAACAACAGCTGGGCCCCCAAGTACAACGAGAGCTTCCAGTTGTGAGTGGCACCAGGGGCTGGGGCTGTGGGGAACAGGCTGGGGGATGTGTCTCCAGCACGTCAGGACCTCCTGGGGTTTGCCAGTGAGTTTGTTCACCCCCTCCACGGGATGTTTCAGGCGTTTCCTCATTGGTAGAAGCGTTACCCAAAATGGGAGAAATAATTCTCTGGATGGTTCTGAGTGTAGAAAGGTAGAAAGCACCCCTTTGATTGCGGTGCCTTTGGTGCACAAAATATATTGCACACTCACGGTATAGGCCCTTACAATTTCCATACTAGTTATAGGGTTTGGACATTTCCTCATTGGTTATGCCCAGCCCCAAAACTGCCCATCCCATCCTCCCACCCTGGGGTGGTCCCAAAACAACCACCCTTTCCCCCTAGTCCTCATCCTCTCCGTCCCCCTTGGAACGGCACCCGAAGCAGGGGGCGGGCAAAAGGAAAAGAGGCAGCGGGGAGGCAGCAGAGCCGGGGGAGGTTGGAAGATTGACCCCCATCCTGTGCCAACCCTGCCCGTCCCTTGCCCTCCCCAGCACGCTGGGCACAGAGACGGGCCCCGAGTGCTACGAGCTGCAGGTGTGTGTGAAGGATTACTGCTTCGCCCGCGAGGACCGCACGGTGGGCATCGCCGTGCTGCAGCTGCGGGACATCCTGCAGCGCCCCGGCTGCGCCTGCTGGCTGCCCCTGGGCCGCCGCATCCACATGGACGACACCGGGCTCACCGTGCTGCGCATCCTGTCCCAGCGCAACAACGACGACGTGGCCAAGGAGTTCGTCAAGCTCAAGTCGGACACGCGCTCGGCCGAGGAGGGCAGCAGTTAAAACTCCTCGCGCCCCCCGCCGGCCCTCGTCCCCCCGCTCCTGGCCCCCCTCAGAGTCCCCTCCAGCCGTGTATAAGCCATAAGAGCGGCCACAGAGGAGTCGCCGTGCCGGCCCTGGGGAGGGGGTGACGTGGCTGCAGTGACAGACCCTCCCCTCCCTCCCTGGCCGCGCTGGCGGGGTGACAGCGGTGCCGGGCACAGCCAGGCTCCCATCCCACCCTGCGGGAAGGTGCTGGGGCTGGGGGGGCTGCAGGGAAGGGCTGGACCCCAGCCTGGGTGATGGGACCAATCTGCCCTTCCCCAGCCTGTCTGAGGTGGAGGAACCCCCTGCTGCATCCGTGAACCTGCGCTGTCACACCCAGCCCCAAACCTCACTGAGGGACAAAGGAAAGGGTTGGGGGAGGTGTGTGGGGTGTGAGGGGCTGTGTGTGGGGTGTGAGGGGCTCTGTGTGTGTGTGTGTGTGTGTGTGTGTGTGTGTGTGAGATCCCACCCGGGGGTGTTGCTGAGTGGCTGGCACAGCGTGACCCATCCCTGAGCGTTGTGGTGTGCCCTGAGGGGCAGGGCAGCTCCCACCCCTGAGCACCTGTACATATGTAAATAGCTGTACATACAGGGCAGCCGGCCAGGCTGTGTCCTGCACCCGGAAGGGCTATTGGGGCTGTTGGGTTGGCAGGTGCAGCCCCCACGTGCCCTGCACGGGGTCCCCTCCCTGGCTGGCAGCGGCATCACCGGGGCCGGGAGCAGCAGGGAGCAGCCCCCGGCCCATATCCTGTCTTCCCTGCCTTGCTGCCACCATGGGCTGCCCCACTGCCTCCCACGAGGTGCCAGGGCTTGAGGGGGCAAGGGCTGGGGGCACCAGAGCAGGGGGACCTATCCCCCTTTGCTCTGGCCAGTAGGGACCAGCATCCCTGTGCAGGGCAGCCCATGGGACCTCCTCGGCGCAAGCAAGACCCTTCCCACCCCACCCCAGAGGACCCCTCCCTCCATTTCCCCATTAAGCACCAGTTCTGTCCCACCCCAGTTCCCCAGTAAGCACCATTTCTGTGTGGTAAGTGGTGTGTGCATGTCTCGTGCGAGTGCCTGGGAGGTCAGGGTGTGTGGTGTTGGGGTGGCCACCCCAGTCAGCCAGTTTGCCCCGAGTACTGGGGCACAGAGGCCTGACGACCCCACAGGTCAGTACAGCTCTCTCAGCCCCCTCCCACCCCAAAACAGGGTACCCCCACTGGCCCCCACGCTCCTTTTTCTAGAGGGTTTGCCTGGGACCAAAGGGTTTCGCTTTCCTCTCTCGTTTCTGTTCAATGTTTACACCCTTTTTCTACAGCTGCTCCTGCACAGCCAGGCTGGGGCTCAGCCCTGAGGCCCTGGCCCTGTGCCCCCTCCCCAAACTGTCCTGTTGGCATGTGATTGAACTGACCAATTCTGCTCCTGTAGCACAGTGTCACCGATGCCTGTGTGTCTGTCCCACGGCGGCGGCGGCTGCCATGGATGCATGACAGTGAGATGTTTTGCACTATTTTGAATTTTTTGGGCTCTGTAAAAATATTTTATTATAACTGACATTAAAAAGCACACCCTTCGCTGTGGCTCCTGTGAGGTGTGGGGAGGGGGCAGCACCTGGGGGCTTTCCAGACCCTCTCCCAAGAATACCCAGCCACAAGGATTACCAGCTCTAAGTAGCGCAGGGATGCTGCAGCATCTCTGACCCCCTCAGCTTTCCTGCAGTGCACCCACCCTTTGCAAAGCCAGGAGCATCAGGACAGGGGTTAAATGGAATCATAGATCATAGAATCCTAAAATATCCTTAGCTGGAAAGGTTGCCCTAGGAGTCCAACCCCTGGCCCTGCCCAGGACACCCCAACAATCCTCCCCTGTCCCACAGAGCGTTGTCCAAATGCTCCTGGAGCTCTGGCAGCCTTGGGGCCGTGCCCACTGCCCTGGGGAGCCTGGGTAGTGCCCACCACCCTCTGGGGGAAGAACCTTTCCCTGAGATCCATCCCAACCCCCGACACAGCTCCAGCCTGTTCCTTCTGGTCCCAGAGAGCAGAGCTCAGTGCCTGCCCCTCCAGGGCCTGAAAAGTCATCCTGGTTTGCTGATTGTGCAGATTCAGGGAACTTGGCTGCAGCAAACGTTTCCAGGTCTGCAGCATGCGAGGCACATGTGCTAATGCATCACCAGAGTCAAGCAAGCAACTGAACAGGCTGCAGGGGGAGAAGGAAGGGCTTAACTTTGGATTCACATCTCACAGAATCCCAGGATGGTTTGGGTTGGAAGGGATCTTAAAGCCCACCCAGTCCCACCCCCTGCCATGGGCAGGGACACCTCCCACCAGCCCAGGGTGCTCCAAGCCCCGTCCAGCCTGGTCCTGGACATTTCCAGGGATCCAGGGGCAGCCACAGCTGCTCTGGGTAACCTGTGCCAGGGCCTCCCCACCCTCACAGACAACAATTCCTTCCCAATATCCCATCTCACCCTGCCCTCTGGCACTGGGAAGCCATTCCCCCTTGTCCTGTCCCTCCATCCCTTGTCCCCAGTCCCTCTCCAGCTCTCCTGGAGCCCCTTTAGGCCCTGCAAGGGGCTCTCAGGTGTCCCTGGAGCCTTCTCTGCTCCAGGTGAACCCCCCCCAGCTCTCCCAGCAGCTCCATGACCTTCTTACACTGCAGCACTTTCCCAACATGGCCAGGGAGGGATGTGGCAGTGGGATCTGCAGCACAGCCCCCAAACCCAGAGCAGGGGGGGCTGGTCCCGAGATGCTGATGGGGTGCCAAGAGGCTCCAGAGACAGGGAGACACTGGGGTAGCACAAGAATTCATATATAGTAAAAAGTCTTTATTAAGAAGGCTTTGAAGTCAAAAAATAAAACTCTTGATACAATTTTCATAACCGTCAAGTCAGCTCAGCAAATATATAATCAGTACTTTAGCCATGTAAGGTTAAAGGTCCGTTATTTTCTTTTCAAAATAAAATATATTTTAGTTTTTAAAATTTATTCAATAAAGTACATATTTTCCTATAAATTCCCTACATATACATAAAGAGGTAAAAAATAAAAAAATAAAACTAAAAGAAGAAAAAAAAAAGCAATGAAAAACAAAAAGAAAACAAACAAAAAAGAAACCAACTCCAAAACCAAGCACAAAATAAAATGGAGATAGAAATCTGTCTGGTTTTTGTGACATGGTGTGTTAACTGTGCCCCCTCTATCCCATGACCTCCCAACCTCATATCACACATTTTTGGGCAGTTTTCACATTGGCAAATTACAAGATAGACCTGCATTACAAAAAAAAAAAAAAAAAAAAAAAAATTATAGAACCATTGAGAATCATCCAAAAAAATACCTACATACAAAAAGAACCACCAAAAAAAAAATTATTATAATAATAATAGAATGATTTTAAAAAAATAAAAGACAACCCTTGTGTGTCCTAAAATAAAAAGTGCAACCGGACCTTTTCTTTCTGGTTATTTCAGTTTGCAAACGGAATACTGGTATATTTGGGAAGGACTGGTGGAGAACAGCCGGGCTCCCTCCCCAGCCCCACAGCCAGGTGAAGAGTTAAAGCTATTCTGTAAACATCGGAGTTTCCTCCTCGCGGAATTCACGCCCCCTCTTCCTCATCCTCATCCTCATCTTCGGCCCCTTCGCCCCCACCCTCCCAACCCCCGGATTCGGCCACCCCCCCGCCCCGCCGTGCCCTCTCCGCCTCTCCAGCTCACAGCAGCCTCTCCCCCCTCCCGCCCCGTGCGCCCATCGGATCCGTTATTAAATAAAAAGCTCGATTTCAACAGTTTAAAGTCCTTAAAACGCCGTGTTGGGGTGGAGGAGGGAGGGGTGGGGGTGCTGCCCGGCCAACCCCCCCCGGGCTAGGAGAAGATGTGGATGGCTTGGGTGGCGGGCGCGTGGCACGCGGGGCACTGCGGCTGTGCCCGGCCGCAGATGCGCAGGGCACAGTCCATACAGAAGAGGTTGTGGCCGCAGGGCACCAGCGCGGCCATCACCTCGCTCTCCAGGCACACCATGCACTCCCGGGAGCTCTTGCGGTGCCCGTCGGAGCTGCTGGAGTCGGTGGGCGAGCCCGAGGCGGCCGAGATGCTGCCGGGCAGCGAGGAAGAGGAGGAGTAGCCGGTGCTGTTGGAGAAGGAGGAGAGCGAGCCCTGGGCGGGCAGCCAGGCCAGGGCGCCGGCGGGGTCGCTGGGGATGCGGCGGGCACAGGGGTGCTCCAGCCCCGCGCCGCCCTCGGGCAGGGTGGGCGAGTGGCGCGGCGTGGCCGGGCCGCTGTTGCGTCTCTGCGAGCTGTTGATGGAGGAGCAGCTGCTGAAGGCCTGCAGGGGGTTGCCCGAGCGCTCGAAGGGCGACCAGATGGTGGTGGTGGGCGTGGTGAGGTCGAGGGCCAGGAAGTCAAAGCCGAAGTCGCACTCGTCGGAGCCCAGCGGGGCCGGGGGCTCGCTGAAGGTGCTGTAGGGGCTGGTGGGGCTGGCGGCCGCCACCCGCCCGCTGTAGTAGGACTCGGTGGAGGCGCTGCCCAGCGAGCTCAGGCTGTCGTTGCGCAGGGCGGCCGAGGAGCGGTGGGCGGGGTGGGGGGCCTTGGCCCAGGGGCCGCCCGCGCTGCCCTGCAGGTCGAGGCAGACGTCGGTGCCGTTGGAGTGGAAGTCGTTGTCGGCGTTGACGTCGATGAAGGAGCCTGTCCTCATGGTGATGTGCGCCTCGATCTCCTCCCGCGCGCGGTCCACGTTCTCGGGCATGCCCGTCACCTCGAACACGGGCTCCTTGTCCCGGCTGGGCGTCACGATGTAGGTGTGCGTCTGCTGCTGGATCCGCTTGATGGTGGCCCCCTTGGGCCCCACCACCAGCCCCACCACGCGGTACGGGACCCTCACCTGGATGGTGGTCTGGCCCGGCAGGTTGGGGGGGCCCTGCATGGCCCCCGTCAGCCCGTTCACTTTGTTGCGCGTGGCCCGGATCATGGAGAAGTGCTCGGCGGCCGAGAGGATCTCCCGCTTGGCCATCTCCACGTCCTCCTTCCTCCCGGTGACGATGAACACGGGCTCCTCGCCCCTCACCGGCGTCTTGATGTACGTGTTGGTCTTGGCGCGCAGGGCTTTGATTTTGCAGCCTGTGGAGGGAGGAGGAGGGGGAGAAACGACTCATGAGTGCCGAGAGCCCCTGGGGAACCCCTGATCACCCGGCACGGGGACACGCGGGACCAGCAGGAACCAGCAGGCCCCTCTGGTTCTGCACCTGCAGCACAGACCTCCGTGGACAGAGGGGTCTCTCTTGCCTCTGAGGCAGACGAGGGCTCACAGTTCAGTGCTGGGGGTCTGCACTGCCCTGCCCAGGACATGCCAGGCTCCTGGCACTGGCCTGGCCCTCTGGGATTGAGGAGCAGCAGGATGCAGCCAGCAGCCCCAGTCCCAAGGGCTGGGACAGGTGGTGGGTTGGGAGGGGTCAGGGGCATGGTCAGGGTCACTGAAAGGGGGAGAAGCTGAATTCACTCAGAAGGTGTTCAAGGAGGCACAAGGCAGAACAAGACACCGGGATGGAAGGGAAAAAAATCTTATCTGGATACTGCAGGTCCTTTGACACCTCCCAGCCAGCAGCTGAACCTGAGGAACAGCCCTGGCTGCACTCCAGCGACAGCCCCAGAGGGCTGGGGGTGCTGGGGCTCCCCAGGGTGGGGGCACAGGCACACCCCCCACCCCCCAGGGAGGGATCCCCAGCCCCAAGGCTGAGGTGCTCCCAGGGCACCCGCTCTCCCTGTTCTGGAAGGACCTGCTTCCTCCCCACGGGAAGGTGAGTCAGCAGAGCCCAGCTGGGACGTGGAGCCCTGGACTGTGCTGCCAACTCTGCCTCGCACAGCCCCGGGCACGGCCCTGCCCCTTCCCTCCAGGGGGCCAGCTGGGCTCTGGCTGCGGGTCCAGCTGCCTCCAGCCAGCCAAAAGCTCCTGGGACAGGGACTACAAAGGGCTCCAACTCTCCTCCAGCACCACTTTTCACTGCTCCACTGAGGAGCCGCCTGCAGCCACCAGCACGGCCCTGCTCCCTGCACCCCCTGCCCGAACTGCAGCCGCTCTTGATGAAATCCCCACGGGCCTGGCAGAGCTCACCCGGAGCTCAGCTCAGCCTGCTGCCAGCACACAGGGTGTGTGACTCCCTGTCTCCCACCTCCCACCCTGAGCTCTGCAGGGCACCCAGTGCAAAGTTGGAAGCCCGCAGGGATGGAGGGTGCCAGAGCAGAGCCCTGAGATTGTCCCTGTGCATCACAAATGCTGCAGGATCCACATGGATAAACAGCCGAGTGCCCGACTGCAAAGGGCTCACTCGGGGCTCTCCTCCTCCTCCTCCTCCTCCTTCTCTTCCCAGATGCTCCCTGAGGAAGGGCAGGGCTCCTCTTCCAGCTGCAAGGCTGGAGAAGGGAAGAGCCCTGGGAGGCTGAAGGGCCTCAGCACAAGAAAAATGCTGACCTGTTGGAACGAGTCCAGAGGGGGCCACGGAGATGCTGCCAAGGCTGGAGCCCCTCTGCTCTGGAGCCAGGCTGGGAGAGCTGGGGGGGTTCACCTGGAGAAGAGAAGGCTCCA